GGCGCTCCAATCTCTCAGGGTAGCTGAGGTGCCGAAGTGCAGGCACCAGTCTGGTGGCCCTCCTTTGAACATTTTCAACCAACTGACAGTCCCTAGCATATCTCGGGGACCAGATGGGGTGACAGTACTCCAGATGGGGAAGCACTTCACTCCTGAAGATTGTCACGAGGGACGGACCGTCTAGATATCTGAACGACCTTCTTATAAGACCCAATAATTTATTTGCCTGATTTACCTTCTTCTCACAATGGCCCGAGAACTTCAGCTCATTGTCAATATACACACCTAGGTCCTTCTCACACACAGTCTCAACTTGTGCATTTTCTTCATCCCGTTGGGACATATGATACGCCTCCTTACTGTTGATACGCCCCAGGTGCATCCTCTTACACTTCGTGACATTGAATCTCAGCAGCCATTTCTTCGACCATTCCTGGAGCCCACAGAGGTCCTTCTGCAGCTCTTCACAGTCTGCTTGGTTCTTAATTTCCCGAAATAACTTGCCATCATCGGCAAACATTTGTATGGAGGAGTGTACAACGTCAGGCATGTAATTTATGAAACAAACAAACAACAGCGGGCCCAATACACTGCCCTGTGGTACCCCACTTGTTACAGGTACAGATGACGATTTCGTGCCATTAATCACCACACACTGCTTGCGGTCATGTAGAAAGTCTTCTATCCACGCTAGGACATTTCCCCGAATTCCGTACCCTTCCAGTTTGATTTTTACCTTTCGTGGGGTACACTGTCGAAAGCCTTGGCAAAATCTAGGTAAATATTGTCGATATTACCATCCCGTTCCAGAATATGGGTCCAAATATCCAATACCTTGAGCAATTGTGTTAAGCAAGAGCGCCCCGGCATAAAACCGTGTTGGCAATCTTTTACAAGGTTGTTTCGTAGATGTTCCATCGCGGCATCTCTGATAATACTCTCAAGTACTTTACATATTATGCTGGTCAGGCTCACCGGTCTATAGTTGTTCATGGAGTGACTATCGCCCTTCTTGAAGATAGGACTCACATGAGCCACTTTCCATTCACTGGGGACCATTTGTTCATCCAGGCATTTACAAAACAGGAGCTTCAGGGGCTCTGCAAGCTCGTTGCACTGCTCTCTTAGCACTCTAGGATGCACCATGTCAGGTCCGGGACTTATGGACCTTTAGCCTGGACAGTTTATTTCTAATACCCTCTTTTGTGAACACAATGTGGGTCAGTGCTGTGTCGAACCGTCTGTCCTCAAACGCAGGAAGGTTAGTTGCATCCTCTCTTGTGAACACTGAGGAAAAGAAGCTGTTCAATGCCTCAGCTTTATCCTGGTCAGAATCTGCATAACTACCATCTTCAAGCCTCAGGTCTGATACTCCTACTCGCGTTTTCAATTTCGACTTTGCATAGCGGTAAAGCGCCTTTGGGTTTGACTTGACCTCGCGTGCAACCAGCCTCTGGAACTCCTTTTCAGCCCTCCTACACTGTATCTTTGCTTGGTTTCTGGCTCTTGCATACATCCTCCTGTCTTGCTCATCGTTTGACCCAACCCACGTCTTGAATTTCTGGGTTTTCTTCTTAATTTTGTCGACCGCCGCATGGTTCATGTGTAGTGATCCCCTCGTATTCTTAGAAGCACTGGGTTTGGTCTTGGGTATATATTTATCGATCAAATGGGTCATTTTACTAGTTATGATATTCAGCGTAGTGTCTGCGTTCTTTTACCTTAATAAGTCAGGCCAGTTGATACCCCTCATCTCTTCCCTCATCCCATTGTAATTTCCCTTGTAATATTTGCACCTTGGCCTGGCCTTATCTTGAACTAGGTAACAGTTAAATCTGAATGGCAACACTGTATGGTGACTGGTGCCAACTGGGGCAAGGTGTTCCAGTTTGGCCACCATACCCTCCTCGTTTGTTATGATGAGGTCAAGTGGCTTGGGTGTTTGCTCCCCTCTGTAATGTGTCGGGTCTCTCACATGTTGGAACAGAAAATTATCTCTCAGAGTTTCTACAAAAAGAGTAGCAGGGTTATTCAAGTCATTCGGGGTGGACTCGTTTCTCCAGTCGATGTCGCCATAGTTAAAGTCCCCCATGATAAGGAGGTGGCTAGGGTTGAGCATCGCCGCATTGTTTATTAAGGTTCTTAAGTTCCTTTGATTTAGTGGGCCACAGTTTGGGGATCTGTAGATACACCCGACGATAAGTAAGTCCCTTCCTTTTAGTTTAATTTTACACCACTTGGACTCTTCAAAAACATCCTCTCCCTGTACCCTCGCCTGGCTGGCTCTAATGTCTTGCCTAGCATAGATAACCACACCCCTCCTGCAGGATTCTTGAGTTAGGTTCGTAAATGAGTCATATCCAGCAATACTGAACTCGCATTCCTCTGGGTCGATTCTCCTGTTCTTGTACAACAGTTCTACAACTCCTACAATATCTGGTTGGTGTACTCTTAGTAGTGTTTCAAACTCCTCTCTCTTATCAAGGAACGTGCCAGTATTAGTGTACATGACATTCAAGCCAGAATTTGTTCTCGGCAACGTCTCTGCTCTTAGTAATAAACCCGCTCCCCCCACATTCTCAGAAGCTGCAGCATTTGCTAAGTACACTGTATTTTGCAGGGTGTGGTTAGAAATGTCATTGTTTACACGGCGCTCGTTCCCTCCTGTCCGGTAGGCTGAGCTGGTGCCGCCTCCCGGGTGGGGGGTTGAGTGGGTGGAGGGTGCACTGCTGCCCCCTGGCCCTGTGTCGGCACACTTGTTTCCACTACCCTCCCCCTGTACTGTACAGGACAGTACTTTAATCCCTTATAAAACTACTGTATAATGCTATCCACATTATACAACAGTTTGTTCATCCTCTGAACAATTGTGTAATTAACATTAATTTTATACAGATCCCATCATGAAGCACAAAACGGCAGAGATACTAAACATCCACCAACGGCTTCAGGATGAAACTGAAAATATTGCTCGTTGGAAAGCTTCCACGGAGGTAAGACCTATTTTACTTTAGTGAGCAGATCCCTGAATCTACTGAGGTTTTATCATACAGTATGCCTGGAGCTTGGTGGCAAATTGGCAATATTGTATTGTTAATACAGTACAGTGATCCCTCGGTTAACGAGCGCCTCGGTTAACGAGATTTCGGTTAACGATTTACCTTCCATAAGATTCTTAACTTTGGTTAACGAGCAATCCCTCGATTAACGAGTTTTTAATGAGCCGACCTCAACATGTTTTCGCTTGCATTTGGCGGTCCACCAGCTGTAGTGTTAGTCCGCCAATGCAGTAATCGGTTCTAGGGCTTAAATTCCTTACTATTTTAGTAAATATCAAGAAGTTTATACTATTCAATAATTTTAAAAGTTTTATATGAATTTTTTTTAGTCATTTTAACAAATATTGAACATAATTGAAGTATAGGAAGCTAGTTTTTTGCGCGCCAAACAGCCTGTCAACATACCATACAGGCGTCAGTCTCTGTCTTTTCAGTGGAGGTAACATCTTGCTCTAGACTCTCTTCAACTAAATGCTTTTTTCTGTGTTTCGAAGCAAATTATTGGTCAATTTGAAATTTATTTTACATATTGACGATATATAATGCAGTGCAGTGTTGATTTTAAGAAAATAATCTTGAATTACATCAAGAGAACTAAAATTTTATGGGTGAAATGACGCCATGGGGTGACTTCTCTTCCACCCCAATGCCTTCTCTTCTCCCTTCTCCTCCACCCCCATTCTAATTTCCATCATCATCATCCAGGAGCCTTTTACATACACACCTCAAAGTAAGTGTACTTTTCTACCTTTTTTGTTGATTTTAGGCAATTTTCGGTGAGCTGGAACCAATTACCCAAAAACCCATTGAAACAATGGTTTCGGTTGACGAGTTTTTCGGTTAACGAGCAACCTTCTGGAATGAATTGTGCTCGTTAACTGAGGGACCACTGTATAGATCTAGACCAGTGGTTCCCAAATAAGGGGTCATAAGGTCCACCATAAGAGGTTGCATAGAGTTCATGGGGTCGCTGTAGTCACTTGGGTCTTGCAGCGGTCACATGGGATTTTTTATTTTTTTTTTGTCCAGGTGTCAAGGGCTGAAGGATGTGGCTGACAGATGCTGTCTCATTAAGTCAGGACCATAAATTATAGTCAGGAGATTAAAGCAGTTATTCTCCTTGGGTCAGGTTTGGTTAGTCCAGGTCAAGCTTGCCCTGATAACACGTTTCACAATAGAAGTTCTACACTCCTACCTTTGAAGTGCTCTCAGCTCAGTTCACTCTGTAATTCCCACGGATGCTGATGCATTATTGATCTGTTGAAGGTAGGATTCATCATATTTTCTTTTCATTGTTCATGTGAAAAAAAATAGGAGTAATCAACACTATAACTATCACCACGGCCATCACCACATCATACCAAAAATTACACTGGTCTACAGCCAAAATGCTTCAGAAACGAGTGTAGTCAATCTTTACTAATTTGAGGGCGCTGAGTACAAGAATGATGGTTAGAATTGTCAATTGGCCCTATATGAATACAGTACATGGGATCAGGTCCATAGCCAGTATCCTTGACTAGAGAAGGGGTGGTGGTGCTGAATACACTTTGGGGGGGGGGAGGCTTGTACTGTTTGCTTTTTGGGCAACCTTGAGGACAGGAAGTGGATGATGCAATCAGATCTCAGGTATTACATCACCCTACGTACTGGATTGCATCAATTCATTCCTGGAAGTCATACAGTACAAGCGTGTCATAATCCTTTCATAAAGTCTCTTCAGTGTTTCCTTTTGACGTTGATGATTTTTAGTCAAATTTGAACAAAGATGCCTCATAATTGCATGAACAGTGCAGGTAACTTTTGTTATGTTTGTGGAGAATTGACTTTTGCATCACGAAAGCGTGCTATAATGGCCTTGATTAGGAAAACCTAGCATCTTTAATTTGGATGTAAGATTGGCAGTCAGGACAAGAGCCTTTGCCAGTGGTTGAATTGGAAATGAAAGCTATGCCTTTTGCAGTGCCAATGGTGTGGAGGAAGCCAACAGATCACGAAAGCAATTGTTACTACTGCATGGTGCCTCCAGTTAGGAAAGGTATTTGCATGAAAAGAAACTGGACTTTACAATATCTGAATATACCATCTGCTATACTCCCGGTACCTCTCGGCGAAGGACTACCCATTCCTGAGCCTCCAGACTCATTCTCCCTGGAGTCAGAGAACGAAGAGGATGACGGAACCTGCGAAACCTGTGAGCCTTCAACTTCACAAGACCCTGAGCTCGCTCATAGCTTGACATCTTCTGAACCACACAAGATAACTCAGAATGAACTAAACGACCTTGTCAGAGATCTGGAATTGCCAAAGAGTAAAGTAGAACTGTTGGGCTCCAGACTGCAGCAGTGGAATCTCCTTGCTGAAGGTGTTAGAGTGTGTGAGTTCCGTGACCACCAAAAAGATTTTGCCCCATTCTTCATCATGCTCCAGAACTTGAGTACAAGAGACAAGCAATTAAAATGCCGGGTTTAATCAAGATAAGTAAGTGACCATTATATGTTACTAATACATTGTAAACATATATAAAAAATTTGACAATTTAATTTTCTTGGTAACTGTAACCAATCAATTGTTTTTATGGTTATATTTGTTTTCATCAGCCTAAAATACATAAGGAAAAACCATTTTATTTCTGAAGCACAAAATTTGTAGACCAGTGTTATCATCACTGCCATCACAGTACACAGTTCACAGTAAGGGTGGGGCAGACTTTACACCCTCCACCTTGACTGTATCACAAACTTCTATCTGGGATTGTATAAGAGCCTAAATGTGGAGGGATGCAGAGCCAGTGCAGCTTGGAGAGCAGTGAAAATGACAATAAACGTTGACGATGAGAGGCATTTGATGGCTAATGCCAATGTGGAATAAATGTTAAAATTTGGCCACCATGCTCTCCCATTGGTTATGATGAGATCCAGTGGTTTTGGTGTTTGTTCAGCTCTATAGTGAGGTGGAGCTTTCGTATGCTGGAACAGGAAATTGTCTTTCAGAATTATTAAGGTTATTAAGTGTTCAGTCATTGTTTAAGTTGATGTCACCATAATAGAAATCTCCCATTACAGTACAAGGAGATGGCTAGAATTGTGTTCTGTGCTCTTTTATTGTTTAGTTTAATAAACTATACTAAATGCTTTCAACATTGACTGTCTCTTGTCTTCATTTTAATTTTACACACTTATTTATCAAGAACCTTTTCCCCTTCACCCTCACCTGACTGGTTGTAAGGTTCTTTCTAGAATAAATAACTAATCCTTCACAAGTTGCTGCAGAAAGATTAGTAAATGAATCATACCCATTGATATTAAACTCAAATTCATGTGGAATGTTTCTCTTTTTCCTAACAGTTCCACAACACCTATCTTATCAGGTTGGTGGGTCTAAAGCCCCGTTTCCCAACCCTGAGGTCGCGACCCCAAATGGGGTCGCCAAGTGTTTTTCTTGGGGTCGTGAAGCAGTTCTGCCACTTCATGGAAAATTCCCACAAATCTGTAGGAGAAATAGGCCTATGTGGGAGTTGTTGAATGAAATTAACCTTAACCAGTGGGGTTGCACTTATGGCTAGAGGTGCATGATTGGGGTCTCTAGAAAAAAAGGTTGGGAACCACTGGTCTAAAGTAAAGTTTGAAGCTGATCTTTTGCAGAGGAAAGTAATTTTGGTTGTGCACCTACTGTAAATTTTAAACCAGATTTAGCATGCAGTATTAGCTCCAAACTTTTAAACATTGCATCACATTCTCAGCAGCTACCTCATTTATTTATTTATTTTTCTCCATAGAATCAAAAGTCCAGGTCAATTTTGCTAAGAAAAAATTGGTCAAGGGATCATCTATGAAATTTCCTGCAGTTTTCGCTTCATTTAGGTTACAGACAAAACTCTTGCTTTGTTTTAATAAATTAACTGTTCTTTGTAAATTTTTTGGTCAGGTCAAGACAAAGCAATTAGAGCGACAGCTGCAGGAGTCTCAAAGTGTCATTGAAGATCAACGTAGTAACTTAATGGAATTGCAGCTCCACTCAGAACAGCTGTCACAAAACTTACTCAGGGAACGTCAAGAACGAGAATTAGTTATTACCAAGTGAGTAATTATTTCTGAATGCTATCTATATTGTCATAATCTTGTGTGGCAGCTCATGTGCTCATATTTAGCAACAAGAAACCGAATGGCACACAGATCATTCATTAAATAACCTGTGAGATCACACTCATGAGCACCTCTTGATAGGGGACATAGTAATACTGTAGTCATTCTGAGGTAGAGACACTGTTCACTCAGATTTACTGCCAGTGCTATAAACAATTGTGTACCCATTCACACTAAGGTTATGAAGTACAACCCTGATCTTGTTGTTAGTCTTGAAAGTCAACGAGTACCAGGTACCATTGCTTCACATGGACCTTTTATCACAAACATTAGAATCAGACCACAAACCTTACAGGTCCCTGCCTGGCTTCACATTGTCAACATGTGTTACATCTTGTCTACAGTTGTGATGTCTGCACGTAAGACTACCAATAAGTCTTTTTGATATTTTATATTTACTTGCATAAACAGAGTTTAACGTATGTTATGTATTCTGTGATGGCTTGGGTTCTGATTGTCAATTTAGCGATTCTAATGTTAATGTGATCATTTTGATATGGTGTGTACGGTATGTGTCCTTGTGCGTATTTACAGCTGATTCACCAGGCAAGAAGATGAAGGTGGCAGTGCGAGTGATGGAGGGTGCGGGAGGGGGTTTTGAGGATTGCAATTAAATGCCAGGTAGCGACGTGTCCTCCTAATATTGCATATTAATTAATTATTAGATGTTTCAATTGCCTGTATGTTGGCCTGGCGAGTTATTGCTAGGCATTAACATACCTAGGTATAAAGCTAGACATCGCATTCTGGGTTACTGTATACTGTATCACAAAAACTTTTTTTTTAGAAAAAAAAACGGCTTTTTCAGTGACCATAAAGGATGCTGGAAGGTATTTCAGTTGTGGGACCATCTTGATTATTCTTTAATTAAGATTTAGTCAGAGTTTTATTACTGTATATGTCAGTTTGATCTTTCACTGTTATTGAAGGTAGGGTTTTTTTTTTTTACGGGGATTAGCCCACCCGGGCACAGGTCGAACGACCCACAACGGGGCCTAGGGGACGGAAAAATAAGAAAAAAGAAATTACAAATAGAGAATAAAAAGGTTATACTGTGTTAATCTACACCACGAAGATGCCGGAAAACCAGCTTTTTAAAATGAGACATATTGTATAAGTATGGAAACACAGAAGAAGGCAGAGCATTCCACAGTTTGGCTGTGTGAGGAAAGAAGGAGGTACTATAACTGGTTATTCTAGTGTGATCGACATCCACAGAGAAACGGTGGGCACCGTGGGCAAGACGTGTGTTACGAGCCCACGGCCTTGCCGGCGGTACATAGGATGCCAATTCCACCGACCATTGCCCGTTAAAGTACCTGTAAAAGAGAGAGAGTGAAGCAATATTGCGGCAAAGAGAAAGGGAAGAAAGATTATCAACTAAAGGAGGAGAGTTAATAAGACGAAATGCCTTTGATTCCACCCTATCTAACAGTTGGACAGAAGAAGAGCCACCCCAGATATGAGAGCAGTACGCCAGGTGAGGACGAATGAATCCCTTATATACTTGAAGCAACTGCTCAGGAGTGAAGTAGCTACGGCATCTGTACAGCATTCCCAACTTTCGGGAGGCAGCTTTAGCTATGTTAAGGATGTGTGATTTCCATGACATATAGGAGGAAATGGTGAGGCCTAGCATATCTATTTCAAAATTTGGCAGATTGATAGCATCCTGAAATGTAATTGGTGGGAGATCATCTAATTTAGAAAGTGTAATGGGTAAATACTGAGTTTTATTACTATTGAATTTAACCAAGTTTCTACCTCCCCATTCAGAGATGCTGCACAGATCTGCATTGGTAGAAGTAATGATATCGGCTCTAGAAACAGATCTAGTTTGAGAGTTAGGAGGAAGGGGAAAATGTGAAGAAGAGTGAAGAGTGGAATCATCAGTGTAAGAATTGATAGAATTAGTTGTAGTGTGAAGTAAATCATTGATAAAAAGAAGGAAGAGAGTAGGTGAAAGAACAGAACCCTGTGGAACACCACTATTGGTAGAGCAAGAGCAAGAGATCGATCCCTCGACAACAACTGCCATTGATCGGTTCTCAAGGAAGCTAGAGATTCGAAAAGAAAGTCGGGGAGAGAAACCATAAGAGGGAAGTTTAGAAAGCAAAGACTTGTGCCATACCCTGTCAAATGCTTTGGAGATGTCGAGGGCCACAACAAAAGTTTCCCCATAATCCCTAAGAGAGGATGACCAAAGATGGGTGCAGTAGGAGAGCAGATCACCAATAGATCTCGCCTGGCGAAAGCCATGCTGGTGATCCTACCAAAGAGAATGGCGTTCAAGGTGACGGAGAAAATGGGAGTTCAAGATAGTTTCGAAACTCTTAGAGAGGGATGAAGTTAGGGCAATGGGGTGACAGTTAGAGGGATTAGAATGGTCACTCTTCTTTGGGATGGGCTTAACCGAGGCATGCTTCCAAGAAGAAGGAAAAGTTTGGGTTTTGAGGCAGAGGCTAGCAAGCACGGCTCAGAGCTTCAGCACACTCCATCAGAACACAAGGGGGTATTCCGTCCGGTCCAGGCGCCTTACTCACATCCAACCTGGATAACACACCGATAACCCTGCGAGTGGGGATATAGGAAAGTGCATAGGTTCAGTAGGATGAGCAGGGGTAGGAGGGATAGAGTAGGAATCGTCTAAGGTGGAATTAGAGGAGAATAAGGTGCCAAAGAGATTGACTTTGTCAGGGGGAGAGTTGGCTATAGAGTTATCAGATCGGAAAAGAGGAGGGCAGAAGTTATTACATATGTTTTTGGTTAAGGGCCAGAAGGATTTACTAGAGGAAGGATTACAGCTCCTCCCTGACTTATGACAGGGTTAGGGACCCAAATCCAGGTCGTAAGTCGAAAATGCTCAAATAATACATAAAATATAAAATGGGTGTATCTCTTTCTTCTCAGCACCACAAAACTCTCACTTTTAAGCTTGCCAGCCATTTTAAAATGAATTACAAACGAAAATTTTCTCTGTGTACTGACGTTGGGGCTCGAAAATACGTAATTTGACAAAAATTTGGTCCGACTGAGGCAGGTCGTAAGTGCGAGTGGTCGTTAGTTGGGGAGGAGCTGTAGTCAGGACAGCGGTCTTTCTTTTTATAAAATTCTCGTTTGGCCCTACGAAGAATAGCCTTACAACGATTCCTAGAAGTAATGAAAGAGGAGTGGGTAATAGGAGACGATAGTTTCATGGCTTGATACGCCCTATCTCTCACCCTGCATGCAAGAGAACAGGAGCGATCAAACCATGATTGTAATGTGAAAGTTTTGGTAGAAGATGGGATAAATGCACTCATACCACCCTGTATAACCCCAGCAATGCTGTCAGCACAACTGAGGCATCCCGAGTGGAAAAGCAACCTTCATCCCAAGGAAAGTCGGTGAAGAATTCTCGCAAGGATTGCCAGCTTGCCCAGTTTGATTTAATAGAAATAAGATTGTGATCAGAAAACCCTAAGGGGGCAGAAATTGAGTATGAATTGTGTGAGGGGTTAGGGGTAAAACAAAGATCAACAATGTTAGCAAGTTGATCGTGTCGATCAGGAATGCGTGTAGGGTGTTTGATTATTTGTTCCAAATCATTAAGTAAGGAAAAAGAGAGTGCCTCATCTCCACCTGGGTCATCCTTTGCAGAGCCAAGCCAGGTTATTCATTTCAGTCCTGCTGGCTGACTCAGATTGTACATATACAAAAGTAGTGAGATTTAAAAGTTCTGAAGGGGACTGAATAAGGTGAGAGAGCCAAATAAACAATTGTAAGTCACAGTTAAGAATGAGAGAAGGAATTTGTAAAAGGGTAATTAGGAAAATACTTGGAGAAACTGATGAGATAGAAGTGGAACTATATGGTTTGGGGGAATAGAAAGCATTATATTGTACTGTAGTGAAACAAGAAAAATGATAAGTTGATGTAGCAGGCTGTAAATAGGCTTAAGAATGGTAAAGTGCCCGAACTTGCCCAACTGTAAAATTCGGTGGTCATTTACAGCTGGATGGACTGGGGGTGCCCTGAGATTGAATCTATGGCCCTTAAGATAGTTGGTGAGTGCTATATCCACTTGGCTGCCACCCTCAAAGTGTATGCAAGAGTCAGCATTTAGAGGAATGTTGCATATGCAAAAAGCTCTGGTGTCCAGGGCTGGATTCCCTTCCCATTGCCAAACCACTTTTGCTGAGTGGAAACTGGACATTATTTGTAGGGTTGCCATTCCTGAGGTAATAAAAAATTACTTGTTAAGTGAATAGAATGCAGGGAATAAGAAATACAGCAATTAGATGTGTTGGACAGTGACCTGACTAAGGTTTGCATGGGTGGTATAGACATATTGTGAGATTGGTAGGGGATATAAAGAGTGAAGTGAAGGACATGTAGGAAGCAGTGGATGGAAGAGCTTAATGTTGAGTGGTTAATGGGAATATTACAGCAGTAAGAGTGACCAAAGAAGGTTTTTTTTTCAGCCTAAAAACTAGAAGGGCTTGAAAAAGTGAGTAAATGAGTGAGTGTTCTATCACTTGAATATCTCCACTACTATGTTGGCATCTAACTTGGATATTCCACAATACAGGTACTGTATTTCAGATTAATAACAATTTCAAGTTTTTCATTGTAAAACAAGTTTGTCTTTACCAGAGAAGTAACCATTGAAGCTGTGCTTTCATTGGTTATTGATATCTGTATTGGATATTATCTTACAGTTATGATAAATATCTGAATTACACTTTGTTCATTGGTCTACTTATTTGTCTTCAGGGTGACTTACACACGACAGCTATTCTCAAACCTTGAAGAACAGTATGAACAGTTGCTGAAGACTACCAAGATTTTTCAACAAGTTAAAGATTCTCTTACTTCAGAGCACATGGATATAATTAAGAAATTAAAAGACCTTCAGGAGGCATCACAGGGCCACCAAAACAGTATACAGAATCATATCCTCAGAGGTAGGTTGTTGTTTGATAAATGTCTTACATGGGTTTAGGCACTGTACATTATCTGCCTGATTCAAAGAAAGTGGGGATGTACTGTGTGTGTGGGGGAGGGGTCATGTTTCTCACTGATCTTCTCTATTATGAAAAGAAATGTTAAATTTGTCTCTGTAGTTATTACCATGAAGCAAGAACATCAACTGTGGGTTGATTGAAGATACTGTACCATACAGGAGTTGTGGTGGAAGGATCAGCCAGTCAATCAGTGGCAAGAGGATACAAGTAGGCATGTGGGGTTGCTAGGTTTGATTTTCATCTCATCATGAAGACACAGTTCAATAAACACAATATCACGTTATTCTTTTTTGTGTGATATATTGTCGATAACAAATGATTATTACAGGGGATCCCCGGGCTATGTACGTCAGACTTACGAACATCCGCCGAGATGAAGTCCCATAGTTAAACCTAATTTTATTTATTTATTTATTTATTTTTAATTTTTTTTAATTTTTTATGGGTATTTGCCCACCCAGGCACTCTAGACATCACATTATGCTACCAACATTTTCCTAGGCAGTAGTAGTACCTCCATTTTTCATAACTGCCTACTACTGTTCCTTTACCTGATGACCTATTTTTTACTTTCAGTTTCTGTATTTTGTCATTGTTTCTTCTTTTCTCTTAAATTAAGTGGTTTTAGATGTATATAAGCACTTAGGCTGTGATATAGTGGGATTTTAAACATTGTTCTGTCTGTACTATATTATACCTCTAATTACAGTACTGTAGTGTTTAACAGGTGTCAGTAATCATGTCAGGTTGTTGCATTGTAAACATGTGATTGAATGTGTAATGTTTGTGCCACTCACAATTCACATAAGAATCTCTAGTTCCTGCCCACTTGAAATCATCACACTTCTGCACTCTGCTTACTCAGATTTATTCTGGCTGTGACAGATTCGTGCTAAAATTTCAAAATGAATATGTTTCTGTCTTTTACTTTACCTGATTATGTTTTGTTTTGGTGTGTGTTCATGTGTGTTTGTGTGTGTCCGTGCATGCGAGTGAGAGAAGGTGAAAATGCAGGCTTTTTGTAGCGGTCTAGTGTTTTTTTTTTTTTTTTTTTTAGATAAAGAAATAATTCCAAAAGGAGAATAGTAAATTGTCAAGCCACAAATGATGCTTTATTTTTGGGTGGCCTATATATTTGGAAAAGAGCTATATGCTACACAACTAAGAAACTGCATTGAGACCGAACGTAAAAAGGACCTGGGTGTGTATATCGACAAGGAACTTAAGTTCTCGGGCCATTTTGAGAAGAAGGTAAATCAAGCAACAATACTAGTAGGTCTTATAGGAAGGTCGTTTAGATATCTGGATGGTCCGTCGCTTATTAGGATTTTCAAGAGTGAGTTTGGAATACTGTCACCCAGTCTGGTCCCCGAGATATGCTAGGGAGTGTCAGCTGATTGAAAATGTCCAATGGAGGGCCACCAGACCTCGTGCCTGCTCTACGGAACCTCAGCTACCCAGAGAGATTAGAACACCTGCAATTGCCCAGCTTATACCTCAGAAGGGCAAAGAGCAAACCTAATTGAGGTGTATAAACATCTCGGAGGGCACTACTATGTCGAGTGTGCCTACCTACAGCTGGCAGATGCTCGCCCCACAAAGGGTCACAGCTCAAGATTGAAGAAGCCACAAGTCCAGAAAACAGTGAGGGCAAACTTTTTTTGAGTGAAAGTTGTGAACTCTTGGAACAACCTGCCAGAGAGTGTTGTGACGGCACCGAATGCGAGCTCATTCAAGGCCAGACTTGACCAACACTGGAGCAGGTTCCGATATATTCAGGAGCCAGTTCATGCCCAGTACTTGGGAACAGTGCAAAACAGAGACGTGACAGACCGCCCAAGTGGCTAAGGAGCCGATCAGTGGATAAAAGTAAAGTAAAGCATCATACAGTATTTTCTCTATTTAACGAATTAATTTGAGCCACCCCTGTTCGTTAAATCAAAACTTCCACTAAATCGAGCTTACCGCTGCTCAGAGTGTGTCCTGCTGCCATCGCATGTGTTGTTCTCTGCTACCTCTCGGTCAACTAAGTATATACTAGAGCACCTTAGCTTTTGTCTCTATTCAAGACATCTTCAGAGGCAACTGAATTTACAAGGATTGAATGTCAGGTCAATTTTTCTTGGGTGGGGGATTCGAGGGTCTCATGACCTGATGATGTCTTGAATAAAGACAAAAGTTAAAGTATTTTGAGGGGAGACCTGACTTGACCTGATGTAATGCCAGGTAGAGGTAGGGTGGGGATTAGTGGTCACCCTTTCTTGGGTGGGGATTATTGGTCACCATTTATTGGGTGGGGATTATTGGTCACCCTTTCTTGGTTAGGGATTAGTGGTCACCCTTTCTTGGGTGGGGATTAGTGGTCACCCTTTCTTGGGTGGGGGACTTGTGGGTCTCATGACCTGAAGATGTCTTGAATAAAGACAAAGCTAAAGTACCGTTCTACCATCGGCGCCCCCTTTAGGTAGATTGTGATCAGTATAAGTATAAATAAGCAAAACTGTATCCATTCAACATTACATTACATAACATTTTAAAATATGGAGTGAGAAAGTGAAAGGTGTGGGTGATTTGAGAGATGGAGTGGAAGTGAGTGTTGCCAAGCTCTCCTCACCAGCTGACATTTAACTCAGTACCAAGCAGTCACACATGCACAAATTTGTCATACAATAAGACCCTCACTTCTCATACTTGCTGCCTTAATTCCCGCGCGCGTGTGTGTGTGTTTTTTTTTTTTTTTTTTTAAGGTTCAAGCATTGCTTGTTCCCTCTGGCTTTCAGCTACCGCCACTGGCTAGCCCTCGTGGCGAACAGGGAAGTAACATGCATAAGACTTCCCCTGCTAGTGCACAACCTCTTCACCATCAAGACTCCTGGGTGTCTCATGGGCCCAGGCTAGACCAACAAGGGATATCAGAGTAGCAGTGGGCCTCAGAGGGACGGCGCATAGGCCCACTGGCATGTGGACACGTCCTAGTGCCTACCAACCACCGCCCCGCTTCCTTACGGATTAACCTTGGTAGGTATTAGGCTACGGGAGTAAACTCCAAATGAAAAATCTGCGGTGGAGCCCCGCATCAGGCAGACATGCTTACAGAGCTCCAACAAGACGCCAACAGCGGAAGAGGTGACCACCATGGGAACCCAACAATAACACCGGTGTACGAAGGCAATGCCTGGTGGACAGGCTACAGCCAGGACAGGTGCACAGTTATCAGCAGAGTGGTCAGGAGGAACTCTGGATTATAAAAAACCGGGGAGTTAAGTTTTTCACTTAAAAAAATTCACCGACTTGACTTAGCAGAATATAACTTGCATTGCTGAAATCCTTGCAAGATAGCTATTAATTTGAGTATAAATATTCCATAGTTTGTACTAGACAAAATTTTTAGTTATTAACTTAGTAAATCTGAGTACAGGTTGTGAGAATTTATGCATTGTGGTTGCAGTTGCAAAGCTTCATGACATCACTCGTGTATAATGCTTCACCATATGCCCTGGTTTATTACTGATCATTTGTTGAAGTGTAAAAGTAGCCAAATCGAGCAATCATGTATCAATTAATGTTAAAAAAGAAATTATAAAGTCAAATGCTATAAGACAATACACCTGTAGTTTAGTAGTACAGGACTGTTAATGTGTGTGCTGTGTAAGTGTCTTGGCATGTCACCTCTCTCTTCCCACCCACTCATCAATCAAGTGAGGATGCTGCCATGGTGCAACCTTTCATCACGCTGGGAATTTTTGTCCCCAGGCCCGGAGCAGAAAGGTTTGGAGCGATTTTCTCGCCATTTTCTCAGATTTTCCAGAAATTGCTTTATATCATTATTTATCGTTTTTATACATTTAGCACTCTCACCGTAGGCTGAACTAGGTTACTGTATAATGTGTCTGAGGTGTCTCCGAAGGTGTGAGTGTATTAACAGAACTAATCTCAATTTAGCGAACTTGTTCATTAAATCGAGCGGAAAATACCGAAAAATGCTTTTCCCCTAAATCAAGATATTGTGATATCGGATTCCATTAGGTATTTATTTATATATTTGTTTTACAGAATTAGCTTACCAGGGCACAGGTCAATGACCCATGTCAGGGCTTGGGGGCAAAAATATATTAATAATTAATACAAAATATCAAATATTAAAAATGTAATAATAATAATAAAGGACCATTAATAAATAAAATAAAAAATAAAATAGTGAGAAACAATATATGTACGTTGTGTTGTCAAAGTAAGAGAAACAATTGAAACCCTGCAATTGTGTGTAAATGAGGCAGAATGTCAGATCAGCAACCTGGTCACAATTTTTTTGATGCCATATGGCAGCAGGGTCTACCATTAGATAATACATTACGCTTCCAATATCTTACGAGGTGGTAGTACCTCCCTGTTTGATAGCTGCCTACTACCTACTTGCTGTATTTGCAAATAATTCCCTTACCTTTAATAAAATTATGTTATGAAACCCAATGCAAAAGGTACAGTATTAATTCAATACTTTTGTGAAAATGTATTACCAGCACACCATAAGACACCCAAATTAACCATAGAAAAATGTAAGATACATTAAGTGTCTGGATTACCAGCTGTCAGCCACTGCTAACAGTAAGGAATTGGGTACACTCAGCGACTCATACAAAATAATAATACACTTGGCCACAGAAAATTTTGTACTTGTGGTAGGACTACTGTACTATATCTTTTCTTGAAATAAATGAGAAATAATTATCAAAATATGGTTTCCAACAAATATATATAGACACTCCCTGGGTTACGGATGCTCTGCCATAAGTACAGAACATTTTTGGTTTGTGGACTAGTACAGTATCTGTTAAGGACATCAAGCAGTTCGGAAAAACCCCGCAAAGTAGGCATAAGGCGACTGGGCGAGGCATCCCGTAAGGTACCATTTGGCACTCGGTCACGTTAGATCGCTACATTGCACAAGCCTACGCATCATCTCCGAACTTTCTTACATAAATTTCCCTTAATGGTGTTGCAAAATGACTGTAAAGCATGTACGTGATAGTAAGAGTGCAGGACCTGCTGGTAAATGTAAAGTAATTGATATAAAGCAGAAAATGAAAGGAAGAGTGGGTCAGAGGCCCACTCTCTTCTTGCACCTCTTCCAAGCTCATCAGTGTGTGATTAGGTGGGTGACTCGGTGACATCTTGGCTGGTGGAGGGTCGCTGGTGGTGGCTGGAGTTTAACCGCTGGTGGACAATTGTGGGTTAGTGATCGACGCCATTGTAGCATCGGTGGCCACTATCTTGCAGAGAAACTTAGGATAGACGGTTCTTCATTTTTTTTTTTTTTTAATCCCTGTACACCCTTGTAGGGCCTCATTAAATTATCCAACCCACATTTAAAAGTAAGGATGTGCTCCATAAATGGATTAATTTCTATAAAATGCTCAGCCAATTTTGAAGCGGTGAGCATTCCTTTGTTAAGGTTGCTAAGGACTGTGTCAACTCCTGTAGGTCATCCTTGGTCAATCCTCCACATGGGACCTAAGGAGCTCTTCTATATCATTAGCCTGCATGTTGCTCAGCCCTTTGCCTGGCAAAGATTGCACAATCTGTAAGATGCACCTCATCTCAGCATCTACTGAAGGGAAATCATGAAAGTCATGCACTACCTCAGGCCAAATTTTCCCTCAGCACATGCCTTCACTGTTGATAGCCTCACTTCATCCACAGACTCTTTGATGATGCTGATGTAGTCCATGATGTTAAGCTCTTCTAGCAGTCCCATACTGTTAAGGTGGTGTTTTCCTCCATGGCATCAAGGATACGGCTGAAGGTGCGGTGAGTGTGATGACTTTTAAAGGTGGCTATTACACCCTGGTCCATGGGCTGAAACAGTGAAGTTGTATTTGGAGCAGGAATACCACTTCTATATTGAGATGGGCAATCTGCAGTGCTTCAGGGTGACTGGGTGTTTGTTGATAATGAATAGCATCTTGAACCCCAGATTTATTTTGCAAGGTACCGCTCAACCTCATGGACAAATCAGTTATTGAACCAATCCATGAAGACGGCAGCAGTAGCCCAGGCTTTGTGGTAAGACCTAAAGGACTGGGAGGCGGTTCTTATTGCCCTTCAGGACACTGAAGTTCAGAGGCTTGATGAAGTAGTCCTTTGAGGTTTACCACAAAGGAGACGGGTCAGCCTGTTCTTCACTGCCTTAAATCCTGGAGCAGACTTCTTAGCATTTGAAATGCAGGTTCTTTTTCTGCATCTATTTCCAAAAAGACCAGTCTTGTCCTTGTTGAATAACTGCTCCGGCAGGTAACCCTTCTCCTGAATTAAGTTTTTTAATTGTTGGGGGATACATCACAGTGGCCTGTTGATCTGCTGATGCTGATTCCCCAGTAAGTTTCACATTGTTCTTAAAATTTTCTAAGCAGCCCTTGCTGGCTTGACGGGTTTAAGGGATTCCGGCTAACAGAGATATTACTGTAGTATTCACAAAATCATGAGTTGTAGGCTGAACCCTAATTTTTAAATGAGTTGATGGTCATAGAGCTGATCCTGTACTACTACTAGTAGGGGCTCGATTACTTAATTATTGGCGATGGGAAATTAGAAAAAATACAGTTCAGAGGAAAATAAATGATACATTCTGGTGCCAGTTCTTGCCAACAGTGTTTAACAGAGACTTGAACAACTACCCAAGTGGCTAACAGGCGACATGCCAAGTCCACATATACGTTCACTTCATACACATGCACATCCATGCTCTTTACGTTGTTATAATTCATTCTGTTCTTTCTATACGGTGTGATAATTTTATAAATTCTTAAATATTGTAGAACTGGTAATTATTTATCCAAAATTATTTCTTTAATCACTCTTGGAGGTTTTCTTATTCCTGTGTCTGTTTATGATCTTTGTTTACTTTTCTCTAGTCCTCTTACTTCTTGAATCACTTAACAGAGTCTTGTAGTGTATATTGGGACAAACTTTTGACACCTTCTTCCTTGTAAATTGGGAAATGTATTTCTTTCATTCTATGGGTCGCCACCAGTCCTAATACATAATGATATCCTTTCTTCCATCAATTAGAGGAGAAGAATACGAGTCTTGTGGAGAAGCTGAAGGAAGAGATGAATCATCAGATATCTGCTAAGGATAAGGAATTGGCAGCTCTTACTCAGAAGTTGAAGCACTTAGAAGAAATGGTGGCAAACTTATCTGAAAATCTGAGTGCCACAGAGAATGATAGAAGTGCTTTGAACTCCCGTTTGGATAAGGTTTGTTGAAACTTTGAAATTAAACTGTTTAGGTAGCCAGAAATATGCAGATACAAAGTGAACAATATTGGCAAGGCTGAGCCGAGTGGGAGCTGGGACACTCTTGGTGGCACCTGATAAATACTGGATATTTATTTAATGTTACTTGGTGTTAATTAATACAAGTACATATCATTTGCACATTTCTTTATATATTTTTATAATATTTTTTAACTACATTTTTTGCTGTAAAGGAATTTCTTGGCATGGTAAAAGTTATGCAATAAAGACATAGTTACACAAATCATCAGGCCTAATACAATAATCTTCCTGTTAGTTGAAATCCCAGTTCCCGGAACTCTCCAATATCTGGAACTGAAATTGGCCCGAAATTTTTCTGGAAAAATAATTCAATTCTGGGTCTGCAAACAAATGTTCCGGGAGTTCCGAGAAATTGCATCATGCTCCACCGCGTCCCAACCGCTTAGGGAAAACCGCTTGGGTAGCATGAGCTTTAGGCTCGTGCACTGTGATTGGATAATACTGTAATGTGATGGAGGTTGGGTTGGAGATTATTGGGTCACGTTACTTACCTGACCTGATGCAATGTCAGGTCACTCATTGTTGGGTGGGAAATTATTGGGTCATATGACCTGAAGATGTCTTGAATGACATTATTTTGTACTGATCAGGTATACAGTATACATAGTACAGGAAAGCCTCCGTTAACGATGGTTCCTTTAATGACAATTCTCATTTAAGACCCTGGTTAATTTTGGACCCAATTCAATTTACACCATAATTTTCTTTGTATTTACGACAAAAATATTATAAAAAATAAAGTAAAATTACATTTTCTTATAAATAATAACTAAATCCTGATATGTATTATGAAAAAAAAGGCAAATGACCTCTACACAAAGATGTATAATGAGAAAAGAAAGCAGCTGTGAAAGGTTCTTTTGGCAGTTTTATTATTCGAAGGCCTAAACCATCAACTTGAGCTACACCATCAAATTCAGCATCATAAGCAGCTTCAACAACAACTTCAGGAACAGTAACAGTTTCAGCAACAGCTATAACATCTTTATGAAAAGCTTCAGCTTCAGCCAGAGTTGAACCTGATGACTTCATCATCTGAGTAAAAACTCGCACAATATTCATTGGCTGACCTTATGTTTTAGACTTTGCCACCATTTGTTAGTAGAATTTTTGTTTTACATTAGTAAGTATTATTTAAAACATATATGAACAGTAATAAGTGTTGCTTTCATGTTCTTGTGTAGAGAAATGACAGTGTTTTCACATATACGCACTTATATACGATGGCGTTCCCAATCTATTGTTCCATTTATTAACACTAAATAGCATTACTTAAAACATACATATAATTTTTTACATTAATTTTACTACGGCTACAACCAGGGTGTTATTTTCTTCAGTTTCTTATGTAAAACCATCGTCACGGACTCACGGGTGTAAATACTCACAAAAACAATGCCGTCTCCTCTCCTCTTGTGTGTTTTAATATTCTACGTATTATTAATGAATTGCATTGTTCATTTTGCATATATAAACATTAATTCAATAAAATACATATTCAGTAATAAACAATAACGAATCTTTTGTACATATTCTTAATAAGATAAATGGCACGGTTTCCTTGAAGGCGCAAGTATACATTGCCATTCCACTACTGTACAGGTATAGGCGTTTATTGTAAGGCGTTTTTGATGCACGGATTAGCCTACGCGTTAGCTATTCTGTATGCGCAGACGCTGCTTTTGACTTGTGCTCATGACACATTCAGAGGGAAAGCTAACACCTCGATCAGGCGTTAGCCTTGTGCAGCACCCGAGCGGCCCAAATGGCTAACAACCAATCAGCAATTTCTCCCACTGAAAATACGCGGATCATGGCCGGCTGGCCGCTTATGGAGAATATTTTGATTAATATTGAAGAGTTGGAGGCATGTAAGGCAGGGGATCACATTTACTCTGTATTGGACCCTTCGGTGTTTCAAGTTTAATTTCTTGAGTCCCCATCATTATATTGTGCCGAAATATTATGTTTAAGGTTCTTTAATAAAACAGTCTTGTAGAGATATATTCAGGATCATTATAGTACCAAATTCATCTCTCCAACAATTAGAACAGATCATATGTATAAAAGTTTGTGCACTTTTTCATGAGCAGTAAATATTTTTGCTCGTGCCTGCGGTCTTAATGTAATGGGAGAGTGTAATTGCGAGATGAGATGATGAGATATGTAGTTTAGAACCTTGGAAAACTTTCCCCATCACCCAGAAACATTCTGGTAATGTGTGATAATGTCTGTCCACTTAAGATGCCTAATTTAGACTCGGAAACTTTTCCCAGTTCCCGGAAAAATTTCGAGGATGTGGGATTTTTTCTGGGTTTGAGAGAGTTGTCTTGTTACCTAGAAATCTCTTATCCTGGGAAGAGCTCTGCACAAATTGTTCTGGCTACTGGGGATATCACTTGTATAGGGTTTCTTGAGAAAAAACCTAGTGTTGTACGTACAGTATTTAAAGGTAAGGGAAAGGAGACTTGATTATAATGTATTTACTGTAGTTAATTTTATAATACTGTGTGAGCATAAGAAGAAGGAGCAGATTAGAATAGATAAGAAAGTGGCTCAGGTTGTGTAGACATACCAGTAGAATGGTTAGTAAAAACTGAGTGAAATGGGTGTTTATTCTATAAGGTAGAGGGCAAGACAAAGAGTGATAAAGGGATTTGTACAGTATATTATGCATAGGTGTCCTTGTTCTATCTTGTTTATAAAGTACATTTTACGGAACGTCCCTGTACTGTACTGTGTGTTTGTCATGCTCTCACAACAGCTTCCCCACAGCTTCAAGGATCCCTGAGGTCAGATGCTTTAGTGTAGGAAGGGACCAGGTATACATGTTTCCTCCAGCATACTACAGAACTAAAGTCTAATAGTTCCTTGTTTGTCTCAGCAGAATCTGATACAGATTCTTTTTTTGGGTTTTGCTTCAGAGAGTTGGGGGAGGAGATAGCTTCTTATCCATCTCCTTAGTTCTTGTCTTCACATTTGAGATTTTTGCAAATTTTACTTTTCTTTTGAAACTACTGCTCAGATAATGTGAAGGTAGGATCTTTTTAGATTCTTCCCTTAAGATTTTGATGCAATAGACAAAATGGATTTTTAGGAGAATTGATTGACAGCAAATTTATCAGTCTCATATAAATGTGCCTCTGAAAGAATGATTTGGAGACAATTGACAACTCTCTTGCTCATTTGGTACAGTATTTAGGATCAGTAAAAGTTTCTTGATTCTTCTAGAAGCTCTCAGAGGTGTCTTTAGTGTTGGCTTAAAAAAATTAACATCTTTTAAACAGAATTGGGAACCTGAAGGCCATACCCTAAGGAAACTGAACTACTTTGTCTTGCTGTGAGATAAGGTGCATAGTATGGAGGAAGTCTGATAATTAAATGATAATAAAGTTTTGATCCACCTACATATACAATGATTATTGACTAACTTTTGTTCCCTCTGCTCTCAGGTTTTGAGATTGTTGACAGAGACCCAAGAGGAAATGAAGAAACAGACAGATGCTTTAGCAAGCCAATTGGTCAAGGTTGAAGATGAACTGAAGTGTGAACAAATTCGGTAGGTGTATCCCAGTGTCTTAGCAGTTTTTATGGCAACTGCATATCCATCAAGTGTGTTTCTACCAGTAAATCAGTTCTCATTTTTATGTTTTATTAAATTAAGGATAACCAACTTTTACTTATTGCCTGCCAGTGTTCTTGAGAGGGAAGGTTTTAGGAAGGGAATTGAGTGTGTCATCAATGTAGTATGTGGTTCACTCACCAGTAAGAACTTGTGTACCACTAATGTAGAAAATAATGGGCTACATCCTTCCTGTAGTTATTTGGCTTCCTATCAGAAATATTTGGGAGCGATGAAAAATGTATACAGGTAAGTCAATAGTAACTCGTGTTTATACCCATTCTGGAAACAGTGTAAGATAAACTCAAATTTCTCGCAGAAGGTTGTGTCTCAAATGTGGTAAGACAATTAGGAAATTGTGCATTGGTACTTAGTTGGTCCTCTTCACCACTAGCTGTAAATGCGTTATATACAGTAGTGGGAAAATAAGGTTGATAACTCCAGGGAACACTGATACCATCCGTCCATTATTGGAATTTTATCCTATATAAAGTATTACAGCCCATACATGATGTTAAATGTCCTCTTACAAAATAAAGCTTGAGAACTTTAAAATATATTCAATAAATTAATAGTTTATTAATGTTGTTTCATGATGAGGGCAAGAAGATATACGTCATTTATCCTGCTACACTACCTGTTTTGTACTGTATAGGTACATGTATAAAAGGCCAAGTTGAGTAAAATAGAAGTGGGACATACGACTGCGACCGTCGTGACCAAAAACTTTTTCAAATGACGCGCGCATTTTCTATACCGAAACGTTTCCGTCACGGGCGAGAGGGAGGGGTGTCTTGGGTCGCCTCGTGGGTACACTCACTCAGTGGAGCACTTTGTTTGTGTTTGGCTATCGTATCCTATACTGATCGCGCTGTGAACTTTCGTTATTATCGTATTTAATTGACTTTATATAATGACTGGAAAGCGTAAAAGGGAGAGTGCTGGTGGTGCTCAAAGAAAAGGAGACAGGCAATTACTTTTGAGATGAAACTGAAGATAATAACACAGTATGAGAATGGAAAAACAGTAGCAACAATCTCACGCGACCTAGGTTTCTCACACTCGACTATATCCACTATTCTGAAGGACAAGGAACGTATTCGTGAAGTAGTGAAAGGAACAACACCAATAAAGGGAACTATAATATCAAAGAAAAGACAAGGTCCTATCCACGATATGGAAAAATTATTGGTGATATGGATAGAAGACCAGATACAGAAGCGTGTACCCTTAAGCGTTCTAACCATACAGGCTAAAGCAAGAAGCCTGTTCCAAAGCCTGAAGGAGCAGGCAGGAGATGAATGTGATCAAACCTTTACAGGAAGTCATGGGTGGTTTGATAGATTTAAAAAACGCTACAGTCTACACAATGTTAAGGTGAGTGGAGAGGCAGCTGGTGCCGATGTTGGTGCTTTTAAGGAGGAGTTAGATGACGTGATTGTGGAAGGGAATTATTTGCCTGAGCAAATATTCAATGAGGATGAGACTGGATTATTGTGGAAACGCATGCCTGAGCGGACATACATCCACAAAGAGGCAAAAACAATGCCCGGATTCAAGGCATTCAAGGACAGAATTACACTTCTGTTGGGGGGGAATGTTGCTGGTTTCAAGCTAAAGCCCTTCATGATCTATCATTCAGAGAACCCCAGGGCTTTTAAACATGTCAGCAAGCACACACTGCCAGTGTTTTATCGCAGTAACAAGAAAGCCTGGATGACCCTAGTACTGTTTGAGGATTGGTTCATGACTTGTTTCATTCCATGAGCCAAGGAGTATTGTCTGCAACAAAGGATTCCATTCAAGATTTGACTGATTTTGGATAATGCTCTGGGACACCCACCACACCTGGACGACATGCACCCTGATGTTAAGGTAGTGTACATTCCACCTAACACTACCTCTATCATCCAACCCATGGATCAAGGTGCTATTGCTGCCTTTAAAGCGTATTATTTACGCATGACCTTCGCTCAGGCTGTTGCTGCAACTGAAGGTGAGAAAACGCTCGACAGTTTTGGAAGGAGTACAACATTTTGTCATGTATAAAGAACATTAGTACAGCATGGGATCAGGTTACAAAACATTGCATGAATGGAATATGGAAGAAAATCCTGAAAAGATATGTGAACAGTTTCAAAGGATTTAATGAAAATGAAGTTATTTTGGATATTAGTAACAAGATAGTGGAGTTAGGTAAACAGCTGGAGTTAGAAATTGATACTGAAGATGTTGGACAGTTGGTTGAAAGTGTAGCAGAAGAGCTCAGTAACGTGGATCTTATTGAACTAGATGCACAGAAAGTTGCAGAGGAAGAAGAGAGACAAAATGTAGAAGAAAAGCCTGCACCCCCAAAAAGTTTTCAGTGAAACACATGGCAGAGGCATTTGCTACAATTAATAAAGGAATGCAAATGTTTGATGACATGGATCAAAATCATGAGCGTTATGCCAAAGTTGACAGAATGATCCAAGATGCACTTGCTTGCTACAGAGAAATTTATAATGAAAAGAAAAAGCAAACTGTGCAGTCTAAATTGGACATCTATTTCAAGAAGTCCCCCAGTACTGGCTCCTCACGCCCCACCAGTGCTGCCTCTTCACTCCCTCAAGATGATCCAATACCTTCAACCAGCAAGTTACCCCTGTACATAAACCTGTCTGAAGAAAGCGACATTGATGACCCACCCAGCCCTGTCTCCTCTTCTGCTTCTTCCAATTAATATAGTCTCCATGTATCCTGTAAATAGAAAATTATGGGGGCCCTGTGTGCATTCAGCTGACTACATTTAAGGTAAGTGCTCAGTCACACTGTATCCATTCCTCATTATTTTTTACGTTTAGAGTACTGTATCCATTCATCATTATTTTTTATGTTTAATGTACTGTATTTCATTGTAGATTTTAAAAAAAAATTGAAATATTTTTTTTTTTTTTTTAGTTTTTTTATCTATATGTCGGACTTACGACCATGTCGGACTTGACCTGGATTTGGGTCCCCTTCGTCGTAAAGTCGAGGTGCTGTCAATATATATATATATACAGTTAACCCTCTTTTACAGCGGTCGCATTCATTTCACGTTTGCGTGCCTTGCTGAAACCTCACGTGCTCAAATTACAGCGATCGTGAACCCCATTCTGTGAGAGAGTGTCGGCAGCGCTATTTTAGGTCGCCCCACCCGCCACCGCCTGCCTGCCTGCCTGTGCTCTCGCCTCCTCCCTCTGCTTGGGCAAGCGGCGCCAGTAAGTTGCTGATGTCTTTGACTGCGTTATCACTGACGTCATACTGGCGTATCAGACCTGTGATTGGCCATACTCCCTACCCCCTCTGCTAGCTGTAGTGGCTTAAATATTATGGCGTGTCACCGGGAGGGAGGAGAGGGAAGGAAAAGGCAGCTTGACCTGCTTGTGACAGTTCATCCCTCGAGCCCTCCGTGTGTAGCGCATCCATTGTTCCGTAAAAACAGCTGCATGATCCACCCCAGAAGAAACCTTTTTCCTTACCTGGACCATGACACTAAGCCAAAAGACCGACGTTCACCAAGCTCGAGGTGAAGTGTACCATCATCAAAATTTGGAGAAAGAACAAAACGGGATGATTTAGCTGGCCAACCTATGGAGTGTGAACAGATCTACGATCCGGACTATAAAGAAGGATGCAGCCAAGATAAAGGCACATGAAGATCACAAAGTCTACTGGTAGCTGCGATCCAAGTATTTTCACAACCAGGTGCTTCTCCAGGAACAGAAAAATTACTTGTAAGTGTAGAGTCGTCCGGTAGCGGCCGAAACATGGCCAGTCGACCTGGCAGCTCTGTTAAGACTAAGCACGTGAACTGTACATGGCAGTGGCACGAAGATGGAATTACAGGCCCAAACCGCTGTGCTTCCTCTGGGTTACAGAGGTTTAAGATCGAACAAGATCCTGTCTCTCGCTTATTGGTGGTGAAGAAAGCAGTGCTGATCGTGCGGCTGACCCAAGAATTTCCTCCGTTTTTACGTGAGATTGGAGGAAGGACAGTACAGTGACGACGGAGTGTTTAACATGGACGAATCTTGGTCTTTTTCTTTTTAGGCTACCTTCAAGTCCTTAAGTTGTAAGAATGCCAGCAGGATGGGCGGAAAATGCAGAAGGAGCATCACCGTCCTGTTTTACCCAAATGCCTCCGGTACCTGTAAGCTCAAGTTATCGGTGATCCACACAACACGCATAAATATAGCGCCTACAAAACCATGGACATGACCAACTAAATGTCCACTGGCTGACCGCGCGTAAGGCATGGATGTTCTCTACACTGTCCCTCTCCTGGTTTGATGACTGTTTTGTTCCCGATGTAAAAAATTCTGAGCGACAGAATGTGCCATTCAATATTTTGTTTTGCTGCTGGACAACGCACCAGGACACTCGCCCCACTACTGTTAGATCGTCACCCCAACGTAAAAGTGGTCTTCCTTCACTCCCAACACTACGTCATTAATCCAGCCCATGGACAGGAGTTAATCTGCAATGTAAAGCTGCATTCTCAACAAAAAAATTCCGCTCACCGAACGACTACACCAACACCAGAGAGTTACGTAACCTGAGTGACACCACCACCACGATAGCAAGAAGCGAAGAAGATGAGGATCAACAGTTTGGAACAGCAAAAAATACTGTTCAAACGAATTCTGGAAGTATTTAACATCAAGAAAGCTGTGGACTTCTTGGTGGAGTCATGGATCAGCTGTCTATTGCTACCAATTCGTCATGCATGGAGACATGTGTTGCATGGAATACCAGGTGAGAATCAATCTGTGACTGGCGAGGTTCAGAATGTTGCAGTAGCAGTGGACCTTACCAGAGAAGCTGGCAGACTTTGGTTCAGACTTCTCGAGACCACCAACGACGCGACATCCTGGAGGTGATCAGAGATCCTGAAGTGACTGCCGACGAGATGTTGGAAGAGAAAAGAACATGTTAGTGAAGAGGAGGAAGAAGGTCGTCATTCTCCGAAGAACCTAGTTTAAGTCATAGTGATATTAAAGGGTGCCATGGAGTGTGCAGAAAATGAAGTCCTTCCTTTCCACAGCGACAATGACGATGGCCGCTATAAGTCTTCCATACCCGGCTGGTGCAGGCTATGGAGCCGTACATCAAGGTGTATCACGACAACATCAGCGTAGCCGTCAGCAAAAACGCCTGTGGAATTTCTTAGCCGCAACCTACAGCCAGCCCAAGCCAGTGATAGTGACAGTGAAAGATGACTTTGAGGATTTGTCGAAGCCCTGACAACTGTATGAAAAGCTGAAACAGTGATGGTGACAGTGACAGTGATGGTGATTCACCTAGTAATGGTGATTCACCTGAGGGCCAGTAATCTGCCCTTGCCGAACCAGCCTCCATCCCCTCGTATGCCCACCATCTCTCTACTACCATAAGTGTTCCACCAATTTTTAGTTTTAACCAACCTTTATTTTTCCTATGTTAACCTTTATTTTCCTAACCTAACCTCTTCATATATATATATATATATATATATATATATATATATATATATATATATATATATATATATATATATATATATATATATATATATATATATATATATATATATATATATTACAGTTGTAATGGGTTGTTAAGCTGGGTTGTAATGGGTTATTAAACCTGGGTTGTAATGGGTTATTAAGCCTGGGTTGTAATAGGTTATTAAGGCTGGGGGTTGTAATGGGTTTGGAGATTATTATGATATGCTTGCATCACCCTGCTGAGTGTGGCAAGATTTACATAATGTGTATGATATAAAATTACAGTAAGTAGATTGAAGTGTTATTTTATTAATAACGTACTGTATATTTAAAGTTTGGTTAGAAGTACAAGATTATATATTTTACATACATTTACTTTGTTAAATTAAATGAGATTTTTATTTTAGTTATGCTTCATTAAATAACTTTTCTTTCTAGACTTAAGGAGAGTCAGAAAGAGTTTGAGGAAGCTGTTGAGAAGATTCAGTATTTAAAGAAGAGTAATGACACACTGGAAGGAGCTAAAAGTGAACTATTGGATAAAAGAGAAAGTTTACCTCCCGTAAGCAGGAATTAGAACAGGTGAAAAAAATTTTTGAATGTAGGACCACTGTGTTATGAGTAACACAGCAGTTAGTCTGTTGCTCTGTTTCAAGGCTCCTGCACCTATGTGTGGATGACAGTTTTTTTACTCACCCGGTAAGATTGGGAATATGTAGAAATGGGTTTGTCCAAGGTTCACTTATCTTTACACCACAGCAAAGAATAATTTGTTTGTGTGCACTAATGTCAAGGTAGTGTGTAGATGTGTGCCACCAGTAGAAAAAGGGTGAAATTCTACTGTGTAATGTATTTGTTACCTGTAAGAAGCAGAAAGAATAAAAAACAAGGAATAGCTAACAAGGTGCATTGATCAAGATGTTTATTTGGTATGAATAAGAGATGTCACCATCGTTGATGATATGTGCAGCTGGAAAAAATAAGTGTGGGCAGCACTCTATTAACTGTTGTGCAGGCCAGGAACCTAGCTTAGAGGAAACATTGGTTCTGATCATCCTTCTGTTAATTGATGTGTTTATACTGGATGGCTCCATTACTTTTACTTTTATCCTATTCACCACTGATTGGCTTGTTAGCCACTTGGGCATGTTGGTCACGTCTCTGATGCACATCGTTGGCAAGTACTGGGCATGAAGTGACTCCTGAATATATCGGCACCTGCTCCAGTGTTGGTCAAGTTCGCTTTGAATGAGCTCACATTCGGTGCCGTCACAGCACTGGCAGATTGTTCAAGAGTCTGCCACTTCCTAAAAAAGTATCCTCACTGTTTCACCTTGTAGCTCAGCCTTGAGCTGTGACCTGGGGAGGGTATTCAAGCTCCAGAGTATGTACATTTGACTGAGTAGTCCCATGAGATGTTTATACACTTCGATTAGTTGTTTCTTGCCCGCCTGTAGTGGCAGCTAAGAGGCAGTTGCAGGCGTTTTAATCTCTGGGTAGCTGAGGTTTTGTAGAGCAGGCACCAGTTTGGTGGCCTGACTTTTTCAATCAATTGACAGTCCCCAGTATATCTCGGGGACCAGACAGGTGACAGTACTCCAGGCGGGAAGCCACTCTTGAAGATCGTGTTGAGCAACGACCCGTCTAGATATCTAAACAAACCAACTTGTAAGGCCTACTAGTTTCGTTGCTTGATTTACCTCTTTCACAATGGCCAGAGAACTTAAGTTCCTTATCAATGTACACATCCAGTTCTTTTCACATTCGGTTTAAATTAATGTAGTTTCTTCGGCCTGTTGGGACATGTGATACGCCTCCTTACTGTTTATGTGACCTACAGTAGGTGCATCCTCTTACGCTTCATGACATTGAATCTTAGCAGCCAAGTCTTCAACCATTCTTGAAGCTCATAAAGAGCTTTCTGTAGCTCTTCACAGTCTGTTTGGTTCTTAATTTCCCTACATAACTTGGCGTCATCTGCAAATATTTGTATGGAGGAGTGTATAGTCGGCATATTATTTATGAAGCAAACAAACAACAGCGGACCCAATACAATGCCCAGTGGTACCCCGCTTGTTACGGGTACACATGACGATTTCAGGCCATTAATCGCCACACATTGCTTGCGGTCATGCTGAAAGTCTCCGATCCACTCTAGGACACTCCCTGAACTCGTACCCTTCCAGTTTAATTCTCAGCTTTTCAGGGGTACACTGTCGAAAGCTTCAGCAAAATCTAGGTATATATTGTTGATATTTCTACCTTGTTCTAGAATTTGAGTCCAAACCTCCAGGACTTTTGAGTAATTGTGTTAAGCAGGAGCGCCCCAGCATAAAACTGTGTTGGCAATCCTTTACAAGGTTGTTTTAGTAGTAGATGTTCCATCATGGCATCTCTTATAATGCTCTCAAGTACTTTACATACTGTGCTGGTCAGGCTCACTTGTCTATACAGTAAACCCTCGATAACTCGGAATTTCATATAACTCGGCATGGATGTGGTCTCGGAATGTATTACAGTAGAATGCCGATTTAAAGCGAATCGATTTAAAATTATTGATTTAAAGTGACACCCACAGTTAAGGACACCGTATCAATTTAAAGTGAATATTTCCTATTTTATGCAAGTCAAATTTGGATGATCATATGGAAATACCTGGTACTCACTATTTTAAGTTTTGTGCCTAATGTTTCCCGCCAGACGCCTCTCTGGGCACGTTACAAGGCTGCCCGCCACCCTCCCGCATCCTCAGTTCTCGCACTGAACGGACATACTGTACTGTGTGACACTAACTCCTTCTACCATGTGCATCAACCATTGCCACTATGTCAAAGAGGCCAGCTACTACATCATTAACTACCCCAAAGGCCAAGAAATCAAGGCAAGCAATTACACTGGAGCGGAAAAACAAGGTGCTGGAAGCACGGCAGTGAGGACATGGTGATTCAAGTGTGTGGCGCCAATTTGGACTATCGGAGAGCTCTGTCTGCACTATCAAGCTCAACGAGAAGAAAATTAGAGCAGCCTATGTTTCACCAGATGTTGCCAAGGGTAAACTCCACCTGAAGTCTGCTATGTATGGTGAGATGGAAGATGCAGACACGGCCGTCATCTAGTGCTTCCTGCGTGTCAGGTGTTTCCACAGCCACACCACTAGACAGTGATGCGGATGATGAGCTGGCTGAGTTGGGCTCAGCATCTTCAGAGGATGACTTACCTAAGTAAAGCAGGGGGAAAATCTGTTTTTGATAGGATAAAGTAATGAAAAACTAAGGACTGTAGAGAGGAAAGTGCATGGTGAGTAGTAGGGACGGAGTGAGGCAGACAAGAGGCGGTGGTGTTGCGTCCAAGCAACCACCCTCTCAGATCAGCTGATTGCTAGTAAACAGACCATTTCGCATCCCTTAATTTTAGCTGTGTTGACTTATGAGTGTTTGTTTGTTCTCGGAGATGAGCTGAGGTGCATCTGGGTAGACTCAGTCGGGACAGTGAAATTCATGTGAGACAAACAAACAATGCTAGTGTTAGCACAGACTTTTACCACAGGAGGCTCGTTATATGACTACAATGTATCGAATATGGTGGAAACGGAACTGGTTCAGCCTGCATTGAGTTGAGCTTCGGAGCGAACAGTAGGAATCGTAATGTTTATTTCAAATCATAGCTATGTTAGACAAGATGAGAACCTCGGAGAAGACACGCGCAGCAATCGCTCGCACTACAAGGTGTGGGCCTCAACAATGGTGAAATTGCTAGGCGAGTTGGGTTGTCCAAGCACACCGTAGCCCGATGGATACAGCTCTTATGAAACTGGGACACCTTGCATAAGCGTGGAACGAGCAGGCCTCGGTGCACAACTCTGCAGGCCAGGGATACCAACCATGCAAACTACCTCAGGATTTTTTTCAAATATTCTCGTGTGGTGTGTCATATTGTATCACGCCATAAATGCCGAATAATTTGTCATTTGGTGAACACATACCTGTATATGGGTTGATAATTTTTATTTTATTTTTTATTTTTGTAGGAGGGGGAAGTGCCTCGATAAGTAAAAATGTGGGATAACTCGGCAAGGCCAGAGCCCCACATGTGCTGAGTTATCGAGGGTTTACTGTAATTATTTGTGGGGTGATGATCGCCCTTTATGAATATAGAACTCACTTAAGCAATTTTTCAATCATCAGGGACCTTTTGCTCATCCAGACATGCTTATCCAGGCATTTGCAGAACAGGGTCTTAAGGGGCTTTACAAGCTTGCTACATAGTTCTCTTTACACTCTGAGGTGTACCATATCAAGGCTGAGACTCTTATGAATTGTTAGTTTTGACAGTTTATTTCTTATATCTTCTGAGAAGACAATGTGGCTCAGCACTGTGTCAAACCGTCTTTCCTCAAATGCAGGAAGATTGTTTGCATTCTCTTTATGAACACTGAGGAAAAGAATTTGTTCAATGCCTCCGCCTTGTTCTGGTAAGAATCAATAACTACCATCTTCAAACCTCAGGTGTGATACACCTACCCGCATTTTTAATTTCAACTTTGTGTAGGGAGTAGCACCTCTAGCTGCTTGACACACCCTCTTGCAATTTGTAGAAAGGTTATTAAATGAGTCATACCCGTCTATATTGAACTCGCATTCCTCCGGTTTGATTCTCTAACAACAGTTCTACAACACCTACTATATTGGGTTGATTACCTTCATTAGTGTTTCAAACTCCGCTTTCTTGTCAAGGAACGTCAGAATTAGTGTACTGTACATGACTTTCAGTAGGAAATTGTCCTTGGTAATGAGTCTGGTCTTGATGCAGTGAGGCCTGGGATCTAATGTTAGTACTGTACTACAATACCTATATACAGTCCAGTATTTTCAAAGACGTTTGAAGCCTAAAGGGGCATTACTCAGTCAAATTTACATATCTGGACTCAATGGATGCGCCCCACTTGAGGTCACAACCTCCAGTTTAATAAGCTGGCAATACTGAAATTTGTCAGAGTTGACATGTTTGGAGCAAGTGTTGTGGACTTTCGGAATAGCCTGTGTAGCCTGTGATGGAGTAGCACCTAGAGTGAAGTCCTTTTAGTCTGGACTCAAAGACTGGTGTGGTGTTGGTAGTGGTATGGTATGGGTTTAGTGTAATGTACGGTGTGATGAGGTGGTGGTCAATTGGTGGTTTAGTGCCGGTGTAGTGTGATAGTGGTGTGTTGATGTAGAGTGACGTGGTGGTGGTGCGTTGATGTAGAGTGACGTGGTGGTATGTTGATGTAGAATGATGTGATGGTGGTGCGTTGATGTAGAGTGACGTGGTGGTATGTTGATGTAGAATGATGTGATGGTGTGGTGTGGTGGCAGTTTAATAGGGTCAATAGTAATTACTTTTTACTACACAAAAATGCCTGAGTACAGAACTACATTAAAGAAAAAGTATTGGAATTTTCTGTTGAAAAGGGGGATCTGGACCCGGACACCTGGATCCGCCCCTGGGGTGTGGTGTGGTGTGGTATAGTGGTAGTGGTGTAGTGTGGTGGTGTGGTAGTGATGTAGTGTGGTGATGGTGTGGTGTAGTGGTGTAGTGTGGTAATGGTCTGGTAAAGTGATGAGTGGTGTAGTGTTGTGGTGGTGTGATATAGTGGTGATGATGTGGTAGTGGTATAGTGGTGGTGTGGTAGTGGTATAGTGGTGATGGTGTGGTAGTGGTGGAATGATGGTGATGGTGTGGTAGTGGTATAGTGGTGGTGTGGTAGTGGTATAGTGGTGATGGTGTGGTAGTGGTGGAATGATGGTGATGGTGTGGTAGTGGTATAGTGGTGATGGTGTGGTAGTGGTATAGTGGTGATGGTGTGGTAGTGGTATAGTGGTGATGGTGTGGTAGTGGTATAGTGGGTGGTGTGGTAGTGGTATAGTGGTGGTGTGGTAGTGGTATAATGGTGATGGTGTGGTAGTGGTGTAGTGGTGATTGGTGTGATATAGTGGTGATGGTGCAGTAGTGTGGTGATGGTCTAGCGGTGGTGTAGGTGTGGTGATGGTGTGGTATAGTGGTGATGGTCTAACAGTGGTGTAGAGTGGTGATGGTCTAGCAGTGGTGTAGTGTGGTGATGGTGTGGTATAGTGGTGATGGTCTAGCAGTGGTGTAATGTGGTGATGGTGTGGTATAGTGGTGATGGTCTAGCAGTGGTGTAATGTGGTGATGGTGTGGTATAGTGGTGATGGTCTAGCAGTGGTGTAGTGTGGTGATGGTGTAATATAGTGGTGATGGTCTGGCAGTGGTGTAGTGTGGTGATGGTGTGGTGTAGTGTGGTGATGGTGGTATAGTGGTGATGGTCTAGCAGTGGTGTAGTGTGGTGATGGTGTGGTATAGTGGTGATGGTCTAGCAGTGGTGTTGGTCTAGCAGTGGTGTAGTGTGGTGATGGTGTGGTATAGTGGTGATGGTCTAGCAGTGGTGTAGTGTGGTGATGGTGTGGTATAGTGGTGATGGTCTAGCAGTGGTGTAATGTGGTGATGGTGTGGTATAGTGGTGATGGTCTAGCAGTGGTGTAGTGTGGTGATGGTGTGGTATAGTGGTGATGGTCTAGCAGTGGTGTAGTGTGGTGATGGTGTGGTGTAGTGTGGTGATGGTGTGGTATAGTGGTGATGGTCTAGCAGTGGTGTAGTGTGGTGATGGTGTGGTATAGTGGTGATGGTCTAACAGTGGTGTAGTGTGGTGATGGTGTGGTATAGTGGTGATGGTCTAGCAGTGGTGTAGGTGTGGTGATGGTGTGATATAGTGGTGATGGTCTAGCAGTGGTGTAGTGTGGTGATGGTGTGGTATAGTGGTGATGGTGTAGCAGTGGTGTAGTGTGGTGATGGTGTGGTATAGTGGTGATGGTCTAGCAGTGGTGTAGAGTGGTGATGGTCTAGCAGTGGTGTAGTGTGGGTGATGGTGTGGTATAGTGGTGATGGTCTAGCAGTGGTGCGGTGTGGTGATGGTGTGGTATAGTGGTGATGGTCTAGCAGTGGTGTAGGTGGTGATGGTCTAGCAGTGGTGTAGTGTGGTGATGGTCTAGCAGTGGTGTGGTGTGGTGATGGTCTAGCAGTGGTGTAGTGTGGTGATGGTGTGATATAGTGGTGATGGTCTAGCAGTGGTGTAGTGTGGTGATGGTGTGATATTGTGGTGATGGTCTAGCAGTGGGTAGTGTGGTGATGGTGTGATATAGTGGTGATGGTCTAGCAGTGGTGTAGTGTGGTGATGGTGTGGTATAGTGGTGAAGGTCTAGCAGTTGTAGTGTGGTGATGGTGTGGTAGAGTGGTGATGGTCTAGCAGTGGTGTAGTGTGTGGTGGTGTGGTATAGTGGTGATGTGGTCTAGCAGTGGTGTGATGTGGTGATGGTGTGTGGTATAGTGGTGATGGTCTAGCAGTGGTGCAATGTGGTGATGGTGTGGTATAGTGGTGATGGTCTAGCAGTGATTGTAGTGTGGTGATGGTGTAATATAGTGGTGATGGTCTGGCAGTGGTGTAATTATGGTGTAGTGTGGTGATGGTGTGTGGTGATGGTGGTATAGTGGTGATGGTCTAGCAGTGGTGTAGTGTGATGGTATAGTGGTGATGTAGCAGTGGTGTTGGTCTAGCGGTGGTGTAGTGTGGTGTGGGTGTGGTATAGTGGTGATGGTCTAGGTGTAGTGGTGTGATGGTGTGGTATAGTGGTGATGGTCTAGCAGTGTAATGTGTGATGGTGTGGTATAGTATGGTGATGTACTAGTGTGGTGTAGTGTGGTGATGGTGTGGTATAGTGGTGGTGATGGTCTAGCAGTGGTGTAGTGTGGTGATGGTGTGATGGTGTAGTGTGGTGATGGTGTGGGTATAGTGGTGATGGTCTAGCAGTGGTAGTGTGGTGTGATGGTGTGGTATAGTGGTGATGGTCTAGCAGTGGTGTAGTGTGGTGATGGTGTGGTATAGTGGTGAAGGTCTAGCAGTGGTGTAGTGTGGTGATGGTGTGATACAGTGGTGAAGGTCTAGCAGTGGTGTAGTGTGGTGATGGTGTGGTACAGTGGTGATGGTCTAGCAGTGGTGTAGTGTGGTATAGTGGTGATGGTCTAGCAGTGGTGTAATGTGGTGATGGTGTGGTATAGTGGTGATGGTGTAGCAGTGGTGTAGTGTGGTGATGGTGTGGTATAGTGGTGATGGTCTAGCAGTGGTGTAGAGTGGGGATGGTCTAGCAGTGGTGTAGTGTGGTGATGGTGTGGTATAGTGGTGATGGTCTAGCAGTGGTGTAGTGTGGCACTATAAGTTTTGGGTCATTTCTGGTATAAAACTCAACCTTTAAGTCATAAACAATAACTAATGAGCAGTTTACTGCCTCATCACCCTGTATACACCAAATATATGTTATACTGTATCTCTAAATTTAGAATGTGATATATCATTTTTTCATATATATTTGGAAGTTTCTGTCTCGTGTGCGTGCGTGCGTGCTATACAATCTTTACATATTTGGTAACCTTGTAATTCTTTTGACTCACAGAAAGTTCTTAACTGGGTTTCATTTCAAAACTTTAAGGTTTGGAGTATTTGGGCCATTTCTCCTATTTCCAAGAATCTGTAGTGGGTTTTTTTTTGTTTTTTTGTTTTTTTGTTTTTTGTTTTTTTTGTTAATTCAGTAGTTAATTTTTGGGCTTCCTTTTCCATTTTGTTTGTGATATTTCAGAATACAACAAATAAAATTAAACACATGTTTGTATTATTTCTCAGCCTTACATTTAATCCAAAGGTTTCAGTCAATCTGCTCATATAAAAAGCTATTAGAAGAATCAAAATAATTTTTTGGGGGGGACATTTCCAATAATGGATTATCTCCCCAGTAATGCCGGGTAACTAGCCTAGTTAATCATGATTTTTCCTTTTGTTTTACCAGGAAATCATCTATAAAGCAGAGGTTATCGCGACACAAGACTCTGCTCACAGCAAGAGTGTTTTGGACCTTCAACAATTAAACGAAAGAATTGTTGACCTTTGTGCACAGCAGAGAAATGAGGAGGTAAGTTTTTAATGTGTGCCAGAATTATTATTTTTTAATATTGTGCTGTACAGGATACTTACAGTTTATAAAAGTTCTCTGATGCTCGTCTGTAATCCTCTCCCATTTTTATATGGGGTGGATAAAAGAATATGGAGAAGAGGATAAAAGTAAAGAAACAATGTACTGTATATCTCTATACCAAAATAATTGGTGAGCAGCCAGTTCGGTATAGGGAGGTTTACAGTATAAAACAATTCCGAAATATTCATCTAATACCCAACTTTGTTCAGTATACTGTACAGTAGAATGACGATATAACTCGATATACGTTCCAAGAGAGGTCGCTTTAAACCAAATTAGCACTAAATCCAATAGTATTATGTTAAAACGAACACTCATAAATCAACACGGCTAAAATTATGGGACGTGAAATGGACTGTGTACTATAGCACATTTTTTCCCAGCTGAGAAAAGATGCCCCGCCCCCTCCTCAAGAGTTACAGTTGATTGGCTGTTGCAAACCTGTACGAGTTTGTCCTGAGTAATGATGTATTTTTAAACGAGTTTATTCATAATGACCGTTTCTGATGAGAAAGATATTTAACTAAGTTATACAAAGATACATATGTTAATTATTTCAAACATGAACACGTAGGAAGTTTATCAGAAATATTATACATGAATTAACTGATAAACTCGGGTAGCAAATTCACGTTTTCGGAGGATGCATTTAATATATATTTATTTTTACCTACAATAAGGCATACTAAGACAAATTACATATCAGTAATAGTACATTATGCAAAAACAACATTTTAAAAGATCAGAATCACATTGAAATATTACACGGCCGTCAGCAGAGGCGGGAAATATGACTGCGAACTACTTCATATTTTTCCCGCCTCTACTAACGGTCATGTAATATTTCAATGTGATTCTGATCTTTTAAAATGTTATGTATGCATAATGTACTGTTACTGATATGTAATCTTTTCTCAGCTGAAAAAACCGCACTATAGCGATCAGTTGATGTGAGAGGCTGGTCATGCTGGTGCCACTCACCACCCGCCTGACTCACCCAGCACTCACTTTCCTCTCAACTTATTTTTTAATTACTTTATGCTATAAAAATTTGATTTTCACTCAACATTACTTAGGCAATTCATCCTCTGAAGATGTAGAGCCCAACTCGACCAGCTCATCATCCACATCACTGTCTAGTACTGTGGCTGTGGACGCATCTGACACGCGGGAAACACCATTTCCTCACTGCAGTGCTTCCAGCACCTTGTTTTTCTGCTCCAGTGTAATTGCTTGCCTTGATTTCTTGGTCTTTGGGGGTAGTTAATGAAGTAGTAGCTGGCCTCTTGGACATGGTGGCGATGGTTGATTCACGTGGTAGAAGGAGATGGTGTCACACAGTACAGCATGTCTGTTCAGTGCAAGAACTGAGGATGTGGGAGGGTGGCAGGCAGCCGTGTAGCGTGCCCAGAGACGAGTCTCGTGGGAAACATTAAAAGCAAAATTGACTCGCGCATAAAAGGAAAGATTCACTTTAAATTAAAACATTGTCCTTAATTGTGGGTGTCGCATTAAATCAATAATGCTAAATTGAATCGCTTTAAATCGACATTCTACTGTACTGTATACATGTAAAAAAATTAGTCTTTGTAGTCCATTTGCGTTGTCACAATATCAGATTTTATTTTCATAATGATAATGGATGCCCCTCGAAATCGAGGATGGCTGGTCCTAAGGTTACCTAGGTGTGAATTTGTTTAAGGTGTACAAGGTGTTCCTAACACAACAACCACACCCTAAATTAATGAGTTGCATGACCCAGTGTCAAGGAGCAGTCTGAGAAAACCGGACAACTTGCCAACAGAACTGGCTAACCATTACCTTGGAACATATTCAGCAAGTGGATTAACATCCAGGTCCCCAATTACTGCTGGGTAGACAGACAAATGGCATAAAGAAACTTAACCAAAGTTTCACCCTGCCTGGAGATCGAACCCGGAACCACTTGCTTGCGAGGCGAGCATACTGACCATTACACCACTGGTAGGTGTGTGCGCGTGCATGCACACACACACAGGCTGGTGTAATGTTTCCAGTGTGGCAGCATTATGTTAGTGTTACGGTGCAAGCACTGCTTGCTCCCTCTCGCTTTCAGTCACTGCCTCTGGCTAGCCCTCGTGGCGAACAGGGAAGCAACTTGCACAAGTCTTTGCCTGGCAGTACACAGCATCTTCACCATCAAGACTCCTGCTGTTCCTCCTCGTGGCAACACACGGTAACTGGGTTCTTCGTGGGCCCCGGCTAGACCAGCAGAGGATTTTGGAGCAGCAGTGGGCCCCAGAGCCAGAGGAATGGCGCATAGGTCCATTGGCATGTGGACACGTCCTGGCGCCTATGTGAAAGAATGGTTGGTAAAAAAGATTGTGAAATTAAGAGGTGGATTGTTGGAGAGTGGAAAATGTACTAAACGTGAGATAGGGTAGTCTTCAGGAAGCATTGATGTGCTATAGTATACTTTAATAACCAGTTAATACAGTGTAAAGTGCTTTTGGGGATGGCTTTTCTGTTAATGGTAAATGCTTGACTTTATATAATGGCAGAGGCAAAACAGATGTACATGTGAGGCATTGTTGTGAAAAGGAATAATGTTCCTTAGCAGAACACATTTATAGCAAATGCTAAAATTTTGCATTATTATGGTAACAGTCACAGCAGTGTCAAGAAACTAGTTGTTTTTTGTGTCCATATTTTGACAGTTTTGGTTTGCTCTTTTCAGTTGGAGAAGGAGAGAATATATAATGAACTAGGTATCTGCAAGAAAAATCTCACTTGTGAGGAACTCCATGTTAAACAGTTGAAAGAAGAGGTGAGTCTGACATATGTACTGTACTGGATTTATAAACAGGAACACCCTGGTTAACAATTAAGTAAGGGTAGAGTAAAAATATAAACACTAAACTGCTCTAACGTAACCTGTAGTTTCCCCTCCCAAGGCTGCATACACCCTCGCATCTGTGGCCTCTCATTGCCTTCACCTACAGTACACGTGCCACATGGAAACTGTGCAAAAAACTGAAATTCCTGTTTTATAACAAAAATTTTTATTGCTCCAAAGTCGTATTTCCCTTTACCAGCTCAGCTAGCATTACAGGGATCCACCTGGGCTACATGAGTCAAGAATCTCATTTCTCCCCGATTGGTTGATATGTCAGTGTTCCATCGAGCACTTCAAATAATTTATTTATCATTTCCAGCACTTATCACAAATACCTGTAATTACAGTAATACCCCATTTAACCCTACCCTGCATAGTGCTGCTAGCTCTTTGGTCTTCTCTTGTAGTTTTTTTTACTCACCAAAAAATGTGAAATTTCATAATAGATAGTGACACGATCATTGTTACATTTAATTTTCTCCCTCACAACATCACAACCAACCTGTACTGTATTGTACGTGTACAGCAACTTTGTTTATTCTGCTAGCTGTGGTTGGCTGTCACACTCACCCCAGTTTTAACGCGTCACTCATCCTGTAAACACCAGTTTACAGACTCCGCAGCAGGGTAGGGTTCTAGTACAGTAAAACCTCGATTAACCGACCACATATGGGGGGAAGGAGCCGACGGATAATCCGAGAGGTCGGTTAATAGTACATAAAGACTACGGAAATAAAACATACATTTTCAAAGTACCTTTCCCTAGCCTCCCTCATTTAATTCCCTCTATTCATTTTTGTTCATTTGCCATTCATATATCAATAGAATTTGCTTTAAAACATTAATCACTTTAGTAAATAAATATTAACCAGCGCAGAAACCGTGAATAAAAAATGGAAAAGTCAAAGAACATGTCATCACAAAAATTGTGACCAAGTCCCAGGTTGCTGATCTGACTTTCTGCCTCATTTACACACAATTGCAGGGTCTCAATTGCTTCTCTTACTATTGACAACACAACATACGGTACATATATTGTTTCTCACTCTTGATTTTTTTTTCATTTTTGCATTTATTTATGGTTCTTATTACTATTATTATTATTATCATTATTAATATTATTGCATTATCACCCCCCAGGCCTCGATGTGTCGATGTGGGTCAGTGACCTGTGCCCGGGTGGGCTAATCCCTGTAAAAAAAAAAAAAAAAAAAAAAAATTAGGAGTTCGGGATTGACGGTTAATCCGAAAGTCGGTTAATCGAGGTTTTACTGTACAGACAGTCCTCGACTTACGACAGGATTAGGTCGTAAGTCGAAAATGCAAAAATAATACAAAGAAAATCTAAAATGGGTGTCTCTTTTTCTTCTCAGCACCACGAGAACTCTCACTTTTACGCTTGCCAGCCATTTTAAAAGGAATTACAAACAAAAATTTTGTCAGTACACAGCGCGATCACTAACGTTGGGACTCGAAAATACGCAATTTGAAAAATATTTTATACGACTGTGGCGGTCGTATGTCCGGGTGGTCATAAGTTGAGTAGTACCTGTACTTACTTGTACTTGGTACTTAAGTACCAATTTTCAACTACTTGTACTTGCAATTTCATAATACAGTAGTTGGTACTTCAACTTGTACTTGTACTTGTACTTGATGAAATTTACTTGAAAATATTCAAGTACTTTCAAATACCTTTGAAGTACTTCCAAGCATCTACTGATACATTTTACCAGTTACAACTTGAAGAAAGATGTGGCAACTCACTCGCATTTAAGCATGTCTGATTCAGTTTGCTGCCTGATACTGACAGCGAGTATTTAGATGCCATTCAAGTCAACACAAGTGACTGAGGAGTATTCAGGTCTCCCTGCTCAACATGCTATTTGCTTTGCACATACGTTGCAACTGGTTATAAAGGATGGATAAAAAAATGCCACCCAGTTGAACAGGATACTTGATAAAACACAAAAGATTGTATCTCATGTACAGTACACAGATCTACAGTACTGTAGCCACTGAACTACTAGAAGGTGAGAACAGGGTTGAAGCTGCAAATGTCACATGGTGGAACTCTCAAGTTAAAATGGTTCGATCTGTACTTGCTATCCCAGAAGATAAATTTTCTCTACTGAAGGAAGGTGTCACTCTTCTTGGAGCATATGAAAGGAACATACTTCAAGACATGTTCGATATTCTTGAATATTTTGAGGAGGCTACAGACTATGCCTAGAGGCAGAACACAGTATCTGCTAGCTTTGTAGTTCCATGTGTTTGTGGCTTTCGACAACATCTTGAGCAGAGGAAATCAAAATATAACAATAACTTTGTGGCAGCATTGAAGAACTCACTTGAAAAGCGACTAATCCAGTACGAGGCAAGCAAACAATTTCGCTTTGCTGCTGTACTTGACCCATGCTGTAAAGCATGGTGGTGCCAGGATCAAATGGAGAAAACTGACTGAACAACTGAGTTTACTGCACAGATAACTGTAGATTCTGGAATGCTGGCTGGTCCAGTAAATACTAGTTCTCCACCCAAAAAGAGATGTAAAATGTTCAGTTTTATGGAAGATCCTGATGCTAACCAACCTGTTGCTGATAATACTGTTGATCATGAGATCACACGCTACCTCAACATGCCATGCGAACCAGAGGAGAGTAATCCCTTGGATTTCTGGAAGAGACATGAGGACATCTTCCCACAATTAACCAAGCTAGCCAGTTTCACCTCACTATCCAAGCATCCTCAGCATCAGTAGAGAGCTTTTAGCATTGGAGGAAAAGTATTCCGATTAGATCATTGCCATTTGACTTATGAAAACTTCGAAACAGTCATGTTTGTGAAGTGCATTGATCTTACTTACAAATAAAATTTTGCAATGGTCTTGAAAAACTTGACCAAATTTTCGACACCTAGTACTTGTACTTACTTGCTGATATACCAAAAGTACTAGCACTTGTAGTTGAGAAAAGTACTTGAACCCAAGCCTGCTCTGCAGTGACCATTTTATTCAGACTTAAGCACTTTATTATGCCTGAAACATGTCTTCAAGGGGTGCTACTTCCTCTACACCCCGGAAAAAGAGGCTGATACTATCTCTTGAGTGTTATGTTAGAGCTGCTGGAAACATACATTCTTTGCGTGTCCTCCCTGTATGATATTTTAAAGGCTAAGGACAAACTGAAGAAATTACCAACTTAAGTTGAAGGAAGTGAGTGTGCAGAAAAAGTATTTAGAGAGAAAGTTACCCTATGAAGGGTTAGACCAAGCACTGTACAGTACAGTACAGTACAGTACAGTACAGTACAGTACAGTACAGTACAGTATAAGTGGTATATGCAAGAACATGCTGAAGGTGTGCCAGTGTGTGGATTGGACATGCAGGCCAGGGCTTTACTGTGGTTTATTAATTGAAAATGATGCTACTATTTAACCACATCAAACATGCCTTAACCATGTTTGGAAGATAATTAATTTTCAAATATCCTGGGAGCGGGAATTGGCGAGCGAGGGGTGGTAGTGACCGCACTCAGTTGTGTCCCACTGTCTGTTCTCATATGCGGGTCTAGGCTACTCGCTTTCATCTTGTAGTGTAATATTGTATAATGATTTTATAGGTTTCGAGTTTCGTAAGATTATTTTGTATTGTATGATTTGACTCGATAACTCTGTCATGTTTTTTTATATTATTCCCTCTAGTACATTTAGTATTAAACAAAACATGTCTTAGTGATGTGAAAGTGTAAATCGATGTAGGATTTTTAATGCTAGACGCGATTGTATTTTTGAAAATTCAATCTCCACCAAGTTGGAGGTACAGCCCAGGTCAAGAGGCATTCTATTACTGCCCCAAAGAAAGTTTTATTTTATTTTCTGTGTTTCTAAAGGTCTGAGTGGGCGTATAAAATCCCTTATTCATAGCAAAATGCAGTGTACATAGAGATAACACATAGATACTGACAAATTGCCGAAGTGAACTAAAAAAAAGAAGAAGAAAAACAGAAGACAACTCTAAAGGCAACAGGGGAGGTTAAAACCAGCAGAAGGCAGCTAAGTACTGTTTTTGTTTTCTTTATTTTTAAATAGGTGTAGATCTATACACAGTTTGAACCTGCTCCAGTGTTGGTCAAGTCTGGTCTTGAAAGAGCTCACACTCGGTGCCGTCACAACACTTTCTGGCAGATTGTTCCAAGAGTTCACAACTCTCACTCCGAAAAAGTTTGCCCTCACAGTTTTCTGGACCTGCGACTTCTTCAATCTTGAGCTGTGACCCCTTGTGGGGCGAGCTTCCGCCAGTTCTAGGTAAGGACACTCGACTGAGTAGTGCCCCTTGAGATGCTTATACACCTCAACTAGGTCACCCCTTGCCCGTCTGTAGTATAAGCTAGGCAAGTTCAGGCGCTTCAGTATCTCAGGGTAGTTGAGGTGCTGAAGTGCAGGTACCAGTCTGGTGGCCCTCCTTTGATCATTTTCAACCAACTGACAGTCCCTAGCATACCTCTGGGAGCAGACCGGGTGACAGTACTCCAGATGGGGAAGCACTTCACTCTTGAAGATCGCTACAAGGGATGGACCGTCTAGATATCTGAACGACCTTCTTATAAGACCTAATAATTTATTTGCCTGATTTACCTTCTTCTCGCAATGGCCCGAGAACTTCAGCTCATTGTCAACATACACACCTAGGTCCTCACATTCAGTCTCAAATAGTGCAGTTCTTCATCCCGTTGGGACATATGATACGCCTCCTTACTGTTGGTACTCCTCGGGTGCATCCTCTTACACTTCTTGACATTGAATCTTAGCAGCCATTTCTTCAATTATACCTAGGTATGTAAATACCTAGCATTATCTTCTTGCCTGGCGAATCGGCTGTAAACACGCACAAAGAAGGCTCCGCTAATTTGTGTTGTGATAGCTGAAATATAAAGTGCCACGAGGATTTTATTTTTGGTATTGCAGTATACATCTTAGCACGGTGAGGGGGAAAAATACTGTAATAATAATAAAAAGAAGAAGAAAAAACCCCACAATGTTCAGTGTTTAGAGCATTTGTTCTCAAACTGCGAGTCAATTTTCAATGGGTCGTGATGACCCAAAAAGTTATGCTTTTTACCTCTGTTTTATTTAAACTCTCTAGGCCACCAGTACCCAATGGGAGCCTTCAACCACTCTATTTGTACCTTGCTATTAAATTGCTAGTTGATGTGACATTAAATTTGATTTGATGGTTAATTTTTTTGTATTTGAATCAATTGGTCACAAAGTTTGAGTTTTTCAAAATTGGGTCATGCTTAAAGTTTGAGAACCATTGGTTTAGAGTTATATTAGCCTCACTATTTAATTTACCTTTCAATTACAGGTGACAATACTGAAGGAGACTATAAAGGATCTTGAACAAATGAAGGTGAATTTTCTTGATGGACAAGAGACTCTTCAGAAAGAAAATCTAGATATGAGCCAAACTATTACACAATTGAAGGAAAAACTTACAGTAAGTCATTGTCTGTTGAGCACTTTAGTGTTGCTGATATCATAAAAAACTGAGATAATTTTACTTTTATCTTTTTTTTTATAAATGTTCTGAAACCAGTGATAAACATAACGTGGATGACACAGTGGATGCTGCAAGTGAAGCTTATCTTGTGAGAGATACAGGTGTTACTTTATGGATGATCAGAGTTTTTTGTCCATACATGTGAACAACTTGATGCATACAAGAATTGAAAATACACAAATGAGCTGTCTGATATCATGAGGTTAGCCTCTAGTGAGTGTTGTTAAGATGATTAATGGCCTGGTAGGGGGATTTAGCTACAGGGACAGTCTAACTTGGTGACCTGCCAAGTCCACAGATACATTCACTTCACACACATACACACCCATGTTCTTCATATTTCTTATTAGCAACATACTTTTTTATATATAGGTACAGTACACTCCATATAATGCAATAAAATAACTACAATACCATAAAAATAATACAAAAGAACATTGTTTGAGTGTGTGTGCATGAGTGAGAAAAGGTGGCTGTCCCATGTCCGCAGAGGTGATTCAGCAAATCTTTGGTTGTAGTTTAAAGATTCCATGCCCACCACTCTGGAATTATTTATATGATGGTCTTTCGGTCTTTCTCAAGCATAAAGCTAAACTTAAATTGATGACATTTATGCAGCTGCCACTTATCAAGAATCCCAAAAATCAATTCTTAGAAGAATACAAAATAACCCTATTTCCTATTGCTTGTGCAATTAATCACCTTCAGTGAGAGAGACAGACTTTCTGTGGGGAATTGATTCCAGTATTGCTCACTGTCAACAACCAGTTAGAACAGATTCAAACAAAGATGCAAAGCTATGGCTCATCTTTGCTTTTTGCAATAGTTACTGGTTTCAAGAAGATATTTAGCTGTTTTTGCCATGGTTTCTCATCCTTATTTCAAGCTAAGATGGGTCAGGCTAGCTCAGGGTTACAACAAAGTAGCGATGTGCAGTCAAAGATTTCCATTGTGCAAGAAGCGTTTGTGGCAGTAGCTAGAGATTTCTCATGGGATACTGAAGATGTATTGGCTCAGACCTCAGACAACGATGAGTGTTTTAACTTACACAGTTCTTCACGGAAATCTGCAGCACAAAAATGATGGTACTACAGTAGTATTCCTAAATCATCCAGATAACAAATTAACAAGTCGTCACAAGTATCCCCTCTAATACACTATAATATTACTGTGTTCGCTCTCAATTTCAAATCTCTGAACATGACATGGGGTATTAAGAAACATCAGTCTCGGAGATAAATGATTGAGAGAAAACGGAGGCCTGAAATGGGGAGAGTACTGGCGCCTCAGATGGGGGACTCAACAATGAAGGCATAGCTCCATGTTTTATGGGCTATTGAGTGTAATATGAATCGTCTGATTTTGCGTTAACTAACATGTTCGACCGTGGTCATTACAGCCCTAATTCTAGGTAAGTTTTATGAAGTATAACACTTATTTAACTTTCTCAGCACCAGTTGCTTATTTATTGCTACGTTCTTCCCCTCTTTCTCCTGCTTTGTTTGAGGAACAAACATTAATTAAGTATAGATCAGCTGTTGAGCAAGCTATTCATATTACTGATCCCAGGAGTTCTAAGACCTTTAGGAAATTTAAAAGAGGAAGGATTAACAGGGGAACAGGACCAGCTGCTAGGTTCAGTTATCAACCTAGAGGAAACTTTAGAGGAGGAAACAATCCAAGACGTAGTGGGGGTGGCCATTTGTTTAGAAGTGGAAGGAGACCTTGTCCCACCACATCAGCGACCACTCCCTCCCAATGAAGCCAGACAGCTGGGTCGTCTTGTAAGTTGGGAAAACAGGTGGACTTCTTCCATATGGGCTTACAAGACAATCATAGGGGGCCTCACATGGACTTGGTTCAGGCGCCCTCCCCTAGTGTTACCAAAAAGGGGTCAGAACCAACCCCCTTACTCACAGAATTTGTAATTCAGCTGTTAAACAGAGGTGTGATAGAACTGTTGCAGTCAGAGAAGTGTTTCATGTCTTGCTTGTTCCCAGTTCCCAAGAAAGGCAGTTACAAATTGAGGTGGATTTTAGATTTTTCCGTCCTGAACAAATTCATTATCAAAAGAAGTTTCAAGATGCTCACTTACGATCATATGAGGCATCTACTTCCACCCAATGCCTGGATTTCAAAAGTGGATCTCGAAGATGCCTATTATCATGTGCCTGTTGCTCCCTGGTACAGAAAGTTTCTAGTGTTCGCAGTGGGGGATGTAAGTTATCAATTCACAGTGATGCCATTCGGCCTCACAATTGCACGAAAAGTGTTTACAAAACTGGTGAACATCCCCAAGGAGATCCTTGCGAAGGAGGGCATAAGAACTTTTGCTTATCTAGACGATTGGCTGAAAGTGGGAAATTCTTTCGAAGATTGTCAAAGGGCGACTCAACGTACACTAGTACTACTGTATTTCAAACCTAGAATTAAAGATAAACCAGGTCAAATCAAATCTACCATATTACGTATTTAAGTTCAGTGATCCCTCGGTTAACGAACACCTCGGTTAATGAAATTTCAGTTAACGAATTACCTTCCATAAGAATCTTCAATTCGGTTAACGAAAAAAAATTCGGTTAACGAAATTCTTACGAATTCCTCTCAGCATGTTTTCGCTTGCTCACCAGCTGGAATATTAGTCCGCCAATACAGTAATCGGTTCTAGGGTTTAAATTCTTTCCCATTTGAGTAAATATCAAGAAGGTTGTACTATTCAATAATTTTCCAAGTTTTATATTAAATTTTTTAGTAATTTTAACATTTATATAACATAATTGGAGTACAGGAAACTAGTTTTTGGTGTGCCAATCAGCCATTTGACTCACCCACCAAGGCATTAGTTTGTATCTCTGGTCAGTGGAGGTAACATCTTGCTTGTGGCTCTCTTGAACATAAACTATTATTACGTTTTTACAGTACAGTACAATTATTGGTCATTCTGAAATTTATTTAACATATTGCCATTATATAGTGCAGTGCAGTGTTGATTTAAAGAAAATAATCCTGAATTACACCTAGTGAACTTAAAATTTTATGGGTGAAATGACGGCATGAAGCATGGGGTGATTTCTCTTCCACCCCCACTTCCTTCTCTTCTCCCTTCTCCTCCACCCCCACTTCTAATTCTCATCATCATCCAGGAGCCTTCTACATACACACCTCAAAGTACGTGTACTTTACTGTATTTATTTTTACTTTGTATATAATTTTCGGTGAGCTGGAACCAATTACCCAAAATCCCATTGAAACAATGGTTTCGGTTAACGAATTTTTCAGTTAACGAAAGACCTTTTTGAACGAATTGTGTTCGTTAACTGAGGGACCACTGTAACTGTTACCTGTAGATGTTTTAATTGTCTGTATGTTTGCCTGGCGAATTAATGCTAGGCATTTACATACCTAGGTATAAAGCTAGATGTTGCATTCTGGACTATATCACAAAAACTGGTTTTTTATAAAAAAAAAATTTTTTTTTTTTTTAGGAGATGGGTGATATTGTATTGGAGGTTAAAAGGAAACTGACATTATCTGAGGAGCAGGAAGAAGCTCAGCAACAACAAATACTTTCCCTTGAAGAGCAGATCACGAAGTCCAGGTATGGAGACTATAATTTATAAGTTTAGGTACACTTATGTCCCACTACTTCACCCAGGGAACAAGAACCGACAAAAATATGTGAGGCTGTATTTCAGTACTGTATACATCTCAGTCTATATCCCTGTACATAATTTGATACATTATGCATCACAACTGTATAAGTTCTTAATGGTGACCAAGCAAGTGAGTCCAAGTCCCACTTGATCCTAATGTAATCTAACTGATAGGATTAGGTCTATCTTTGTGAGTCCCAGGTGTGATGAGCTCTAACCTGAAGAAGTTTACATCTTAATTGTTTGGTTATGAATGAGAAGTCCCTAATATGATTGGAACCAGCAGTATATGACTAGTGACCATCCTGTATAACTACAGATACTCCCCAGGTTACTGATGGGTTCCGTTTGTGAAAGCTATCTGTAAGCCAGAAGTGACCATTTCATGGGTAATCATTGAATGCACATAGTACACATAATGTATATAAAATTGTTGTACAGGTATATTACCATTTATCCAGCGTGCTTGGAACTTGGGGTTGTGCGAGATAATTTTTTTCCGGTATTTGGGGCGCCATGCCTAAAATGGAACTGCCCATGAAGACTGTTCAGTTCTCTAGATTCACCCCTGTAAGTAGCTTTAACTGTACACTGTAACATTAAAACTTAAAATTTTAGGTTTATGAATTGCGATAACAAAAGCATGTATACATATCATTAATGTAAGAATAAATAGAACAAAAATGGTGCAAGTTAGTGTTCAACCTGCGTAGCCTAGCAGTCGCCCCTGGTGCTCACCCTAGCAACGCAGTACCGTCCCTAGCAATGGTGCTCTGCTACGGACCCTCCAACCTCCACACACTTGAAACATTATACTTTATGATAATTATTTATTTAATTTAGTTTTGCACATTCTGTATGTAGGATTGTGTGTGTGTGTGTGTATCGGAGTAAAAATAAAATGAAGAGAATTACTTATATTTAACCAGAAATTACAAGTTAAAAATAATTTAGATCATAATATTTTACTGGTACAGGTATCCCCCGATCTATGATCTCCCTATCTTCATTATTTGCTTTAACGATGGTGATGTATAAAGACCACCCCCATCTATGATGTAAACAATCTGCATGAACGATGGTCATCGTTGGGCCAAAGCACAAGACAGTCAAAAAACATAGCAAAGATCACTTCACAGTCACCAAAACAGAGTACAAAGTTATCAATAGTGCTGTTTTGTCACAAGGTAAAAAACAAAAAAAAAGCACCGATGATAAGTAGTAGCCACACCAATACTGACCGATAATAATCGTTGAATTACACGATCTCTGCCATGTGGCATCACCATAGAACATAGCTTGCTACTGTAGTGCACCGGGAGGACGAGTGGTGCTCATGTTTGTTGTTGTCATATATAAATGTTAAGGATACCATTTCTGGCTTAGTTTAATGTAGAATTTAATATGCAGTAAGTAAATATATAACTGCTTGAAAACATTAACTTTCAAGATGTGAGTGGAAAAAAGTTTAAAATAAAAGATACTTACCATCCAAGTCACAAACAAATTCACGATTTTGGAGAAGAAGAAGGGGGGGGGGAGGGGGGGGCTACATAGCTTAATATCATCAGTAAAAAAAAATAGACTAGGCCATGGTTGATGAAGGACAAACAAATAATCAGGAATCATGGGGAGATTAAATAACTCGCCAACTTCCATCCTCCGTCAAATTGGTAAATTGTATATGAATTTTTTTTCTGTTATCCATCAGGCCTCAAGGCCTGATGGAATCCCAGCCGAGGTTTATAAAGCAGGAGGACCTCTGCTTACCATCCGTCTCCACTCTCTCCTGGAGAATATATGGGAAAAGGAGGAAATCCCCCAAGCTCTTAAAGATGCATCCATCGACATTTTTATAAGAACAAGGGAGAACGGTCAGACTGTGGTTGCCGCCATGGGATCTCGCTTCTCTTTAGCTGGCAAGATTATCGCCCGAGTCCTCCTAAACAGACTCCTTCCTGAGGCGGAAAACTTCCTCCCAGAATCTCAATGTAGTTTTAGACCATCACGTGGCACCACTGACATGATTTTTGCTGCCTGCTAGATACAGGAAAAGTGCAGAGAACAGTGTCGTGACCTGTACATGGGTTTCATTAACCTGATCAAGGCCTTCAACTCGGTCAACAGGGAAGCCCTCTGGTTGATCCTCAACCGTTTTGGCTGCCCACCAAAATTCATCGCCATTGTGAGGCAACTCCACGATGGCATGAACGGCAGTGTCCTGCACAACGACACCCACTCAGAGTTCTTCCCCATCCAAACAGGGGTTAAACAAGGGTGTATACTGGTACCAACTCTCTTTTCCATCATCTTGGCTGCCTTCCTTACTCGTGCCAGTGCCAATTTAGCCAGCGGGGTAAACATCGAGTACTGGGTGAAGGGTCTTTTCAACATAAGACGACTCCAGGCAAGAATAAAGGTGTCGGCAGCTTCCATTACTGAACTTCAGTATGCAGACGACCTCACCCTTGTTGTTCACACTGAATACGACCCACAGGAGATCCTGAACACATACGCAGATGTGTATGCACACTTCGGCCTTGAGGTGAATGTACGTAAGATTCAGATTCTCTTTCAACCTGCCCCTGGTTCAGCCACACCTCCACCATCCATCCAGCTTAACGATACTACCCTCTCTAATGTTACCCACTTTCGGTATCTCGGCTCCCACCTGTCCACCACTGTGGACATCGATGAATAGATTCAGCATCAAATCAGATGTGCATCTCAAGCCTTTGGCAGACTTTGAAACTTTCTCTTCAGCTGTAGGGAGCTGAAATTATCTACAAAGTTACACATATATCGAGCAGTGGTCCTCCCCACCCTGCTATTTGGCAGCGAGACATGGGTCACATATAGGATCAAGGCACTTGAAACTTTCACCAACCTAGTCTAACCCCTGTGCATTCCATCCTCTGTGTTCACTGGGAAGACAAGAGAACAAATGCCAGTATTCTTGCTGACACCAACTGTAGAAGCATCGAGGCTACCATTATCCATGAACAACTACATTGGACTGGCCATGTTACCCACATGGACGACAGTAGACTGGCAAAGCAGCTATTTTACAGTCGCCTAACGAATAGTAAACGTAACGCTGGCGGGCAACTGGAAAGGTATAAGGATAGTCTTAAGACAAACCTGAAAAAGTGCCAAATCGACCCTCTCATCTGGGAGACGATTACTTCACACCGTAATGCTTGGAGGAGCACCACACAAGAAGGTGTCAATACTTTTGAGTTAGCCCGACTGCATAATGAGGCAGATAAGCGCCAATGCCGGAAAGATGCTACCACCGCCCCTCCAACACTAGATGTAGCTCCCTGCATGTGCAACATCTGTGATCGACTCTGCCGGTCCCATATTAGCCTCTTTAGTCACCTTAAAACTCACCAACCTAAGTCACATCTTTAATAACTTGTATCATTTTATCATAGCTGGATGATCGTCGTATTTGATTCCGAGTGATAGCAAAGTAATATGCAGTGTTTCATTATCATTACCAGTCTGGAAAATGTCATGTTGAACTGGTGCACTGCCAGTGTTTGGGAAGGAAGTTAAGTCAATTTGATAGTTATTTTACGTATTATTAATTGTATATTCTCCTATATTTTTTTTTGAGTAGGTGTAAAAGTTCAGGATTAAGAACATAATTAGTTGTTACTTATAGTGTTATAGGAACTCTTACTTTTTTACTGTGCTTATGTTGCAGCAAGGAGCTAGTGAAAAAGACGAAGGAATATGAAAATGTTGCCAAGTCAGAGAAGGAACACAAGACAAAGAATCGGGAACTGAAGACAGCTATAAAGGAACTAAAGACAACGATGAAGAAGGTAATGTACTTGTTTCTTAAAATTAATACAGGTATATGCACCTGTTTCTCCATACAGGTATATCCTTTCTCAGTTTACAAAGTATTTAATCATAATGTTAAAAAGGTTTCAATCTTTGTACTTTAATTTTATTTATTTATTATTCCTCATCTTCCTCCTTGTTTCTAAACTGTGTTTTGTAGATTCCCTTCTCAGTCATTCTCTCCATGTATTGTATGTATTTGTTAATTTTTTGCTCTTTTCAGAATAAACTTGAAGAGAGCAAGATGCAGGAGGAAAAAATTATTTCATTGAAGAGAGAATTAAAAGCCATCACTGACTCAGCACATGCTTTAGATGACAGATTAAAAGAACGCGAAGAAATGCTCGCAACCCTCCAAGAAGAAGTATCTACTCGAGAAGGACACCTCAACGATGGGTTGACGACTATTGAGGAGCTCAAATTAGAGTTAGCCGAGTCCCTCAGTAAACATGAGAAGGTCCAGTGTGAATTAGAATCCAAAGAAAAATCACTTAAGATTCTTGAGACTTCCATGAGAGTTAACATGGAGAAACTCCTCAGTGACCTCAACCAGAAGGAGGAACACCTTAGTAAATCACATAATTTCCATGAGCAAGAAATTCAGAAACTTAAACATGATTTAGAGAAGACACAAGAAGATCACAAGAACTCATCCATTGCTCATGAAAAAGAAATTAAAGAAACTACTGAAGCTCTCACTAAGGATCTTTTAAACAAGGAATCAATTCATCAGGTTTGTGAATTTTTACTTGATGTGTAAGGATATGTAATAATTTATAAAGTAAAAGGCGCATTTCTTGTATGGTGTCTGAATGCGAGGGAGATCAGTATACAGTAGAACGTCGATATAACACGAGATACGTTCCAAGAGAGGTCGCTTTAACCCAAATTTGCACTAAATCGAAGTGTTGTTTCAATGGAATAATTTAGTTTGGTACTTGAGAGAAACACAAAATACAGTCAAACCTCACTTTACGCGGTTAATGTAACCCACAGGGTACCGCGGAAAGTGAGAAACGCGTAAAGTGAATAACATAACATATGGGATTAAATGAAATAGAGACCAGCTGACCCCCAAACTCCACTTTTTCCAACACAATACCTATGTTCTAGTAAAAATAACATCTTAATTTTATGATGGTACATGCACACAATTAATACTTAAGAGAAATAGAGAAATACAGTCGCCAAGTTAATGTCCATTCAAATAATGGACACGACTCCCTCCCCCTCTTCTCACACTACACTGCTGGCTCTTCCCTCTGAGAAATTTTGGGGGGGAAACCAGGTATAGTAATAAATAATACCTCAAACTAAAGTTAGGATAATATAATTGACATTGCTGGATTCCTTGTAAGACCAGGAATATTTTGAATATAAATGTCATATATTTTTCACAAAAGATAACATATTTACTCAGATTAAACATTTTATCTAAAATTTGTATGTCTAATGCAAAATATATGATGTTTATATTCAAAATGATCACCAAATTGTAAGAATTCCAGCAATGTAAATTATATTCTGGCCGGGTAATTTGTATGAATTTTATGAGCTAAAACAAATATCTTCAGTTAATAAAAAAAAAATATTCTTCACGACACTATCTGTCAATCAAAGTACCCCACCTTGCCTCCCCCCTCTTCCAACCGCGCGGTCAGTCCCAACCCTCCCCCCCACCCCCCACCAATCCTCCCTTCAAGAGAAAGAGTGGGTGAAAAAAATAAATTTTAACATTTTGTATTAAATAATACCTCAGATTAAAGTTAGGATAATATAATTGACATTGCTGGATTCCTTGTAAGACCAGGAATATTTTGAATATAAACGTCATATATTTTGCACAAAAGATAACATACTTACTCAGAGTGAACATTTTATCTAAAAATTTTATGTCTAATGCAAAATATATGATGTTTATATTCAAAATGATCATCAAATTGTAAGAATTCCAGCAATGTAAATTATATTCTGGCCGGGTAATTTGTATGAATTTTATGAGCTAAAATAAAATTCTTCAGTTAAAAAAATAAATATTCTTCACAAGGTAACAGATGGTCGGTCGCCGGTCCCTCCCTCCCTCCCCCCCACCCCCCACCAACGTCCCTACTAGATAAATGTGTGGGAATACCAGACTGTTTACCTTTTTAGTAATAAATAATAAATCAGACTAAAGTTAGGATAATATAATTGACATTGCTGGATTCCTTGTAAGACCAGGAATATTTTGAATATAAATATCATATATTTTGCACAAAAGATAACATATTTACTCAAGAGTAAACATTATATCTAAAATTTGTATGTCTAATGCAAAATCTATGATGTTTATATTCAAAATGATCATCAAATTGTAAGAATTCCAGCAATGTAAATTATATTCTGGCCGGATAATTTGTATGAATTTTATGAGCTAAATAAAAAAAAAAATTATACTTCACCGTGTAAAGGGGTACACCCACCGCGGAATGTGAACATCCTGGGTTCTGGCAGGGCACCGCGTAAACGTGGAAACGCGGAATGTGGGACCGCGTAAAGTGAGGGTTGACTGTACTAAAAAGACTGACAGTCTACCCAGATGCACCTCAGCCCATCTCCTAGAATAAACAAAACATTGTTTTTTGTTGTATTATGTTAAAACAAACATTCATAAATCAACACAGCTAAATTTATGAGTTGCGAAATGGTCTGTTTACTGGCTGGGAAGATGGGGTGGGGGGAAGGAGGTGAGGTGATATGTTTGACAATTGATGCCAAGGTCTGGTGGTTATTTATTTATCTGTCCTTAAGAGTGACTTAAAGTTTTTCTCTTATAAAATGTCACTGAGCTGACATGGGAGAATATAATTAATATTGCTGGAATTCTTATAAGATAGTGATTAATTTGAATATAGTACAAAGAGCAAAAATATTTATCTCATGCAAAATATATGATGTTTATATTCAAATTATTCGCTGTCTTGCAAGGATTCCAGCAACACAAATTATATTCTAACTTAAGTCTGTGACATTATATAAGATAAAAACTTTAAGCCTAAAACAGTGACATGTTTGACAGTTGGGGCCGAGGGTCTAGTGATGTATTTATTTGTTTATTTATGTCCTTTAGATTAGTTTTGTTTTTTGCTTATAAAATGTCACAGAAGTGACCGGGGAGAATATAATTTACATTGCTGGAATTCTTATAAGATAGTGATTAATTTGAATAAAGTGGTCCTTCGATTAACAAACCGTTCAATTAACGAAATTCGGTTAACGAATTAGCTCCCATAAGGATTTTCAGTTCCATTAACGAACAAACCTTCGATTCACGACAGCCTTACGAGAAACACGCCTTGTTTTGTGCATCAGCTGATCGGCTAGTCCGCTAATACAGTATTCTGTTCTATGTTTACATTCATTTCCAGTGGAGTGAATATCAAGAAAGTTGTGCTCTTTAATATTTTTGCATTTTTTTTATTAAAATTTTTGGTCATTCTGAAATTTAGTTAACATACAGGTATTGATTATATATATTATAATAATAATAATAATAATAATAATAATAATAATAATAATAATAATAATAATAATAATAATAATGGTTGCCCCTCGTGTAACGAGGATGGCTGGCCCAAGGGCCACCTACTGTAGGTGTGAATTTGTTTAAGGTGTAGCAGCTGTCGCCAACACAACAACCACACCCCAAGTTAACGAGTTACATGTCCCAGTGTCAAGGAATAGTCCGAGAAGACCGGACATCTCGCCAACTGCACTGGCTAACCATTACCTCGGAATACGATACGTAAAAATCGATTAACGTCCAGGTCCCCAATTACTGCTGGGTAGACAGAGGCAAATGGCGTAAAGAAACTTGCCCATAGTTGCACCCTGCCCGAGGATTGAACTCGGGTCTACTCGCTTGCGAGGCGAGAATGCTGACCGTTACACCACAGGTCACAACCATGCCCGAACAGGGCTATATACAGTACAGGGAACAGTTTTTGTGTGCTCTTCAGCTAATTGAATCACCCACCAACTCTTCTCAGTTTAACTTTGTTTACAGTGGAGTGAACGTCGAGTTTGTCGGTCTCTTGAATATTTATGCATTTTTACATTAAAATTATTGGTCATTCTGAAATTTAGTTAACGTATTGATAATATACAGTGCAGAAATAGTTATGAAACATGAAGAAGGCATTAGAACCAATGCATTCTGTAAAGAATATGGCATGTCATCATTGACTGCCTCTACAAATTTGTCCACCAAGACAAGATTCTTGTGAATAGGGAGAGAAGTAAAATTTCTGTTTCTGTGAAGCAAATTCAACCCCAGATGAGTTAGTTGCTTCTTCCTTAACTTGCCCAAAGGAACTACTATGGTGGCAAAATTCAACAGACCCAGTAGTTTTTCCCAACCGTGCCGAGAAACCTCTTTCTTTGCACAAAAGGCTACTACTTGGTTTATCACATCTGTTACCTTTGCTCCTGGTAGACTGACTGACTGCTCATTTATGTTCCAATAGAGACCTAACCAATCCAATATCTGACATAGTATGAGATTAGATTTGACCTGGTTTATCTTTAATCCCAGGTTTTGATCCTCGTGGCACTTAGTAATTCAGCTATTACAACACAAATTAGCGGAGTCTTCTTTGTGTGTGTTTATAGCTGATTCGCCAGGCAAAAAGATGATGGTAGCAGTGCGAGTGATGGAGGGTGCGGGAGGGGGTGTTGAGGATTGCAATTAAATGCCAGGTAGCGACGTGTCCTCCTAATATTACTTATTAAGTAATTATTAGATGATTTAATAGCCTGTATGTTGGCCTGGCGAGTTATTGCTAGGCATTAACATACCTAGGTATAAGCTAGGCGTCTCATTCTGGATTGACAAAGAATACAGTATTGTGTACCTACATACACCCTTGTTTATTTATTAATAAGTTGTCTTATTGTACAAGTAGCAAATTGAGCCACCATGTATCACTCAAAGGTAACAAATAGCATTGTTTGGAATATATCTCCATAGCAAATACTATACAGTACAGTATATTATAATGACCCTGTTGTAAACTGATTTGCTAGCTCTCTCTCTAGGAACACATCCTGAGCTTTCAAGTAGTATTACTGTACATGTTGGAATGCATATACCCTAATTACATAATGCTTTTGGGGAAATATTCCTCATTATAAAACGTTTCACTATAAGTCAAATTTTCTCTGGAACACATCCCTGTTGTATAATGAAGACCTCCATATGACATTTTTTAAGGATAATTACTAGAACACTTTCATCGTTTATGATCTATAGTAAAAGGTGTTAAGCTTTCTGATAAAGGTTTAATACTTGTGTTATGGGAAATTAAGCAAAATTTTGGACATATTTCAGGAGGAAACTGAAAAATTGAAAGCAGAAATGAAGAAATGTATTCAAGATCAGCAAGAAGCAAGAGAAGAAGCTAGTGCAGCCATCAAGGAGAAGTTGCAAACCAAGCTTGAGTCAGATGGAAAAGTCAAGAACATAATATTTATGTCAACTTTCTTTGTGTAAGTATAGTCTGGTATTTGTGGTAACTGTTGTTCAGGGCAGTTTGTTGCCTTCAGAGTTAAACCTTGCTAGGTAATTCACAGTCTTGAGGGAGGATGTGTTACCAAATTGGCTGAACCCCTGGGAACCCTTGGTGTGTATTATTCTTGTTTTCTCCTGTCAGTTGTTGATGAGAGTGGAAGTTAGTATGGTTTGCTCTCAGGACTAGAAATTTAGGCAGATGGATTCAGCCTTGTTTGGCTGTGATTTGGTTTGATTCTTGAGGGATGTTGACTCCTTTTAATTTTAAAGGGCAAATTAGTACACTATTTTGATTTATTTTGCCCAGATTAAGGAATGCTTGTTACAGGAAAGTAGAAAACTCTGAAGGCTTTATTGTTGGAGGTGCTATCACTGACCAACCACTTCTTGCACACAACTATGGTGAAACCTGGTCCATAGTTTACATGACTAGGAGAAAAATAAAGGAGGGATGAACCTCTGAAGGAGTGGTGTACTGCGCACATCATTGTCATTCCTAAAAACCCCCTTTAATTCATATTACGTAACATAACATTCAAATCCGCCGCTTGTAGAATCTCAGAAAACGGGAAACATTGATAAAGGATAACTCGCCTACTCAATGTTACTGAATCATGTGTTGTATTGTACCCAGGTATGGTTATATAATATTAATTGTATGTATTCATAGCATTAAGGAGAACTCCAGGTATCCATAAGATGATTGGGAAAGTCCAGTTGAGCCGGACTAGTGTACTGTAGAACTAAGTGTGGATTATGGTTTGACGGTCATACTATTTACGTCTGTGAACGTGTAGCGAACATAACTTCCACAGATATCATATGAAAATACATGAGAACAATGATCTGGAAAAGGGATATATGTATCTGAACTATGTGAGGTGTTGGAGGTGACCCAGAAACTATACTTGAAAGGAAATATCTTGTATACATCAGTGTGAACTTAATACATCTCGTATCCTCACGTGACGTATACCCACGACATGTACGGTGATCAGAGAATCTTATGTCCATGTTCAAATAGTGCAATGTGTGAGAGGAGGATTCCTAATTACAGTTTTAAGTGAAATGGATATACCCACACCATGAACATTCGGCTTTTGTTTAAGGAGGCGTCCTTTGCCGCTCAAGTGTGTCGCGTTGATATTATAACCCAATGAATTTACCCACGAACTAGCAACCAGAACCTTACCTTGAGTGTGTAAGTTAGGATTAAAATATGTGTTTATAAGGCATGAGTTACAATATACAGGAAAGTGTTCAGGTGAGAACCGTAAGAAATAAAAGTAAAAATTAAAGATTGGAAACTGTAGGCCTCTGTGATGAGCAACGGGGCACTGCCCTCTGTGTCCTCCGTTCTACCGTCACCTCAGGTCAGTGTCCTCTATCGGGCTGCATCCCGTCCTGTAAAAAAGGCTTATATAGCAGTTATTACAGTTTAAAGCTTTGCCTGGTGTATAAGTGAAATAGTAATGTGTTAGGGTTTGTGATAACCGCCCATCAGGCATTATTTCTCAGTATCCTCCGTTCTACATCACCTCAGGTCCCATGCGGTCGGATTGTCTTGTTGGGTGGCGGCCATTATCCCTGTGAGTGTCCCAGGTGGTGACTACTCCCAGCATGCAATCCACTGTGAACCTGTGGTTCCCCCACCACTCCCTTATCGATTTGGTCAATAAAACCCTATCCATGCCTATTCCACTCTGCCCGCTACTTAACAAGCTACATACTGCCCAGAGGGGGTCTGGTGGCAGCGACCATAAAATTAAGACTATAGTAAAGTTTTCCCCCTGAGAATTAGTGACCCCAGATCTGGCAGTATAGTGGTTAGCATCTTTATTTTTGAGGGAGAACAGTGTTATATATGTGTATGTTTTTATGCTGCCAATATTGATTATATATACATTATATATTATATTACTTCTTAACAAAGTTAGAATGTGTTTAGGCCTGTGTAATCACGAATGTGCGAGGCACATGATACGACAACAACAACAACATGGCTTTTCCTTCTCCCATTAAATCATGTAAGATACTACAAACGGAAGTCCTTCACTTTATGAATTGCAGTATTAAGTTATAGGAGAAGCTAGTTCTCCCCTTAGTGGGAGACAATGCTCTGTTTACCTCTCACCATTTCAGTGGTGTGTTCATTTCTTGCTAAAGCTTGGATTCTGGGGAACAATGCTCTTCTTTCACTTGAGATATGTACATTGCCAAGATTAGTGTCATTATTCCCTGTGGAGGATGATGATTGGGGTCCAGCAGTGGATAGTGGTAATATCACTTCTTTTGGAAGCACATCCATGGTTATTAGAATGGTGAATCCAATATTTATTTCACCCACAGGTGAGAAACTTTGCTTCCTACACAGAACATTACAAATATTTCAGTAACATTTGTGATTGACCTGTCACTGTAGGATTTGGTTAGTCTTTCAAGGGCCTCTTCTGTTAATATATTTCTTGTTTGGGGAACGTTCATTCGTTCTTTAACCCTTAAACTATGGGTAAGGATGCCCTTATCCGTCCCCATGTGCATAAAAACTGTAACACAAGGAACATATAAACATTTATTAATTTGGGTAACTGTCCCCACAATTAACACCAGTTGGTTCACTACTGTTTAAGAGCTATGCTGAGTCTGATTCCCCCAGTAGTGTAGTGACTTTTATAGAAGAGGTTTTAGAGTATACAGCATGCCCTTAAAATTCATGGGGGTTTGGGTCCCAAAATGGCTGTGAATTGCCAAAAGCTCGAATATCATTTGCTGACGAGGGGGGGAGAGGAAATTTTTACTCATATGCAAAGGAATGTATATTTCCTTTATGTGTTTGCCCTTAGGACAATTATTTCTTTTACCTGTACTGTATATGTGTGTGTGTGTGTGTCCACACACACATACCCACACACTAATGGGTACATCCTTTCACAAATAATCAGAAACAAGACAACAAAAATTTATCAAAATGTAGAAAAAATGAGTCTACCCTCAAGTAAATTCCGTGCTTTGTTGTTAAAGTTGGGTTGGTTGGGTTGCCACACGGTAATTTTTTCCTCGTAAAAATTACTGTCTCTAGAATGAATGGCATCTGAGCGCTAACTGGGTTGGTATGTAGATCAAACTTACAGAATTTCTTTTGTAGCCATCTAATCCCAACATGAAGGATTTTGGTAATTGTGGCTTAATACTACACTTTTTTTTTCACTATATGTACAGTAGGTTGATGTGTGCATGTAATGGAGCAAAAATGAATGAAGAGAGTTTCGTATATATACCCGAAAATATGAGTTGTAAAACAACCATAACACCTAACAGCCATAGTCTTCTTAAAATAATGTACAGTAAAGCCTCGAATAACAGATACGTAATGTGTCCTCCAGTATGGCAGTGTAAGGTGAATCATCGTATCGTGAATCACTAATTACCATTAAAATAAAGCAATAATAATGAGATGCGTTCCCAAGTGTCACCTTTTCATATCTTTTTCGTGGCTTTTTACCCTTTTCCACAAAAAAAAAAAAAATTAATGAAAATTGCAAACTATATTCTTTAAATGATGTTACTGAATGCACCTTATACAATATAAATGAATAATAATATGGTCACAAGAGGAGATGGGACGCCATTGTTTTTGTTAGTGTTTACCGGGAGTCCGGGACGTTAGTTCTACACGAGCAAATGAAGAAAATAAGACCCTGGTTGTAGCTGTAGTAAAATTAATGTAAAAGAATTAATATATATGTTTTAAGTAATGTTATTAAATGTTATTAAATGGAACAATAGAAGTAGCTAACCACTAATGGCAAAGAAAAAACAAGTGAAATGGATTGGGAACGCATACATATACAGTATGTGCGCATTTAAGGATACCGCGTCATTTATCCTTTTAAGAATATGTATTTGATTGAATTAATCTTCATATATGCGAAATGAGCAATACAATTCATTAATATCGTAGAATATTAAAACACACACGAGGAGACAAGACGGAATTGTTTTCGTGAGTGACGATGGTTCTACATAAGAAACTGAAGAAAATAAGACCCTGGTTGTAGCCGTAGTGAACTTAATGTAAAAAAAATTTAATACCTGTATGCATGTTTTAAGTTATGTTATTTAATGTTAATAAATGAAACACTAGAAGTAGCTAACCACTAATAAAGCGAGACGTTAGAACGCCAACGTATGTACAGTAAGTGCGTACGCTGAAAACATATCGTCATTTCTCTACATATAAGAATATGATAGCAACACTTATTTGCTGTTCATATGTGTTTTAAATAATACTTATGAATGTAAAACAAAAATTCTACCCACCAATGGTGGTAAAGTCTACTCTAAAACATAAGGACAGCCAATGATGATGTGTAGAGTTTTTACTCAGATGACGAAGTCATCAGGTTCAACTCAGGCTGAAACTGTGGGTTCAACTCTGGCTGAAGCTGTAGCTTTCCATAAAACTGTTGCTGAAACTGTTACTGAACCTGAAGTTGTTGTTGAAGCTGCTTATGATGCTGAATTTGATGGTGTAGCTCAAGTTGATGGTTTAGGCCTTCGAATAATAAAGCTGTCGAAAGAACCTTGCACAGCTGCTTTCTTTTCTCATTATACATCTTTATGTAAAGGTCATTTGCATTTAATTATATTATTTATAAAAAAATTTAATAATTTTTTAATTTCGTTAATACGAAGAAAATAATGGCCTAAATTGAATTGGGTCCTAAAATAACCAAGGTCTTAGATGTGAATCTTCGTTAGTTGAACCACCGTTATCGGAGGCTTTACTGTATACAGTACCAGGAAATGTGGGGAATAAATACAAATAATACCAATAAATAAGTTACAACAAAAATTACTATTTACAAACTGGTAAATAAAAGCCAAATGAATGTTTAACACAGTCACCATTTGCATACACTAACTGCTCCACCATAGTAACGAAGAACAGCTGGGACTCAGATTCCCTAGTTGTATACAGTATATCTACCCGAAAATACGAGTTGAAAAAACCATAACCGCACAGCTTGGCCCAGTAGCCTTGTGGCTACAATGATGAGCTAACCTAGCTACTATGCCATGATTAATCACTATTAAACACTATTATATCAGTAAACAGGGAGTGAGGAGAGTTGCAACTGTAGACGACGTGCTAACTAGCACTCACTCCTTACCCTCTCCTGTTGCCAGGCATAGCCAGGTGTACGTATGGGAGAAATACATGACCTTCTTTTCTCTCTTCACTTGTTTGGGCACCTTCCTGCAGCTGAATCAAAGTGGTTGAGGACGTTTGGGAGCCATCACAAGCACAAGGAGCACAGTTATTAAGAGAGCAGAGTAGCACACATGCAAAATGGACAAGTGTTTAACCTGGACTGTCACTGAGGCAGTGTGAGTGCACATGGTCCAGCCACCTGGGACAAGAGAGATGCCTTGCTGGATGCCATAAAACTCG